AAGCTGGGACAACACACCTTTTTTTTTGGATGAGCATGGCGAGGGGGTGGTCTGTGGGTGTTTTGTGAGTTGTAGAGGGACGCTGTGTGAGCTGGGACAATGTACCTTTTTTTTGGATGAGGCGTGGTGAGGGGGTGTTCTGTGAGTTGTAGAGGGATGCTGTGAAGCTGGGACGACATACCTTTTTTTTTGGATGAGCACGGCGAGGGGGTGATCTGTGAGTGGTAGAGGGACACCACAAAGCTGGGACGACATACCTTTTTTTTTTGGATGAGCATGGCAAGGGGGTGTTCTGTGAGTGGTAGAGGGACGCTGTGACCTGGGACGACTTACCTTTTGTTTTTTGATAAGGCACAGCGAGGGGGTGTTCTGTGGGTGTTTTGTGAGTGGTAGAGGGATGCCACGAGCTGGGACGACGTACCTTTTTTTGGATGAGGCATGGCAAGGAGGTGTTCTGTGAGTGGTAGAGGGACTGCTGTGACCTGGGATGACTTACCTTTTTTTTGGATAAGGCACAGCGAGGGGGTGTTCTGTGAGTTGTAGAGGGACACCATGAAGCTGGGATGACATACCTTTTTTTTGGATGAGCATGGCGAGGGGGTGTTCTGTGAGTGGTAGAGGGACGCCGCGACCTGGGACGACTTACCTTTTGTTTTTTTGATAAGGCATGGCGAGGGGGTGTTCTGTGAGTTGTAGAGGGACGCCGCTGAAGTTGGGATGACATACCTTTTTTTTGGATAAGCATGGCAAGGGGGTGTTTTGTGAGTGGTAGAGGGATGCCGGGAAGTAGGACGACATACCTGTTTTGTGGATGAGACAAGGTGAGAGGGTGTTCTGTGAGTGGTAGAGAGACGCTGCTGCACTGGGATGACATACCTGTTTTTTGGATGAGACCTGGCGAGAGGGGGGGGGTGTTTTGTGAGTTGTAGAGGGAAGCTGCGAGCTACTTACCTTCTTTTTGAATGAATGGGCTTTGTGAGTAGTATGGGACACTGAACAATGTGCAATAGACTGAGAAGAATGGCAGCGTCCTGGTGTGTGATGTGAGTGTTGAAGCCATGAGAGGTTCGACAACATACCTTTTTTGTTTTTTTTTTTGAAGGGAGATGCAGCACGATGTACCTATTTTGTGTTTAGAGAGGGAGAGGTGCAGAGAGATCCAGAGGATGATGACAGTACCAAAAATTTCGCTGAGATGCAGCAGGGGCCAGAGAGTGGGATAACACAATGATGGTCGGTGAGGGAGACACTGTGTGGCAAGAGGAGAGGAGCAAAAGACCATGTCAATCCTGGATACTCGGATGCACAGATCTCGATTTTGGACAGGTCACGTAGTGAGACCTATGATAATCTTGGACACAACCTTAATTGTGACATGAACAATGTCACAGGCTGTCATGATTATCACACATGTCTACCCATACTTCGGATGCGTCTCTGGAACATTACGTAGGACTATATACGGAGTGGTCAGTCGCCGCTAGGCCGATTTCCGGTTTCAATAAGTGACTACATGTATTAAATGATCCAGGTAGTGCTACTACAATACATTTTCTGTGAAATCCCAAGGGTAAGCCACCACTACCACTCAGCCAATGGCATGAGGGAGTGCTTGCTCGGCTCGACAATGCAATTACGAGAATGTCAAGCGAACATTTAGTATTTAGTATATAGAAGCCGAATCCGGTGACAGTGGAGTCACGTGACATCGCTATTCGCGATGTATAGTACGACATGCAGTACTGACTCAGAGGAAGTTGCTGGCACTCATGGCAACTGAACATGCACGAGGCCGAGAACGTGACATTGACGGCGACCTCGCTAGTTGGACTGTGGCCAAACAACAGGTACATAAGACTCAAGTATATAAATCCCCCCCAGTCAGTGGCATGTTTTTTCCCTTACTGCGTTTCCCTGCGATGTGACACTTCCCCTCCATCGTCCTCCCTCTCCCTCCATCTCCATCTCCCTTTCCCCCCTCTCTCTCTCCCATTTTGTGTGCTACGTCATCTTCATTTTTATCTCAGCCCATCGTCTCGGCTGTCATAAGGTAAGTGGCACCTCTGATCCCAGAATTTTCACATTACTTGATTACCATTACTTTGCAGCATCCTTGGCGCCTCACTATTGACTGTAGTCTGCAGCTACAGGATGTAGGGAGGGGCTGCCCTTGACCTTAGATTGTGCTTGGCCAGCGCAATTTTTGGTTGTTGGGTAATATGTTGGGTCTGGGGGAATAGTCTGTGCCTACATTGTAGGCCAGCTCATATGGGATCTGGGGGCTAGTCTGTACCTACATTGTAGGTCAGCTTATGACGTTTTATTTGGTCTGTACCCACCTGTGTGGGTCAGCCTATGACTGTTTTTTTGTGTGGTATGTGTTGGTATATATTGGTAGTAGCTAGTTGGTCAGGCTTTGGTGTAGTGAGTATTCAACTTCTGTATAATCTATGTTGTACTGACATAAACTTTCTAGAGCTGTTTGTCTTTGACTCCTGGTGAATAAATAGTGCACCTCAGGTATGTGAACTTTGCAAAGTTGTGTTGATGCTAATGTGTTTTTAGTATCTTTGTTATCAGCTTTTGTGCACTTTTTTGGGAACTTGGTTGAATTGAGGACTGGTTTTTATTGGCCCAACTGTACTTCTGGAGGAGGGCCCCCTCTGGAATGCAGGCAAGCCTTGGTTTCTTATGAAACCATTATACCTTTGTAGTTGAAATTGTAACTGTAGTTGAATTTATGTATGACCTTGTAAATGTCACTGCTTTGATTGGATTTGAATGCTGTGTGGGAATCTATGCTTCTTTTTTTGAATGAAGCATGTGCTAACCCTAACCCTAGCATAAGACTTGGTGTATTTCTTCATGCAAGTCTCCTTCTAACCCTAACCTTAGCAAATGACTTGGTGTATTGTTTCATGTCAGTCTGCCTGGCTGGTGGATGGTGCTAGATTAGCACTGGTGTTCCATGGCTGATCTTCTTAAGCAAGGTTTCCCTTTGATGCTCAAGAGCTTGCCAATGGCATTACTAGCAACCCAACATCTTCCCTTCAAATGCTGACTGGATGTGTTCCTAGCTGTTGGATGTTGCTAGATTGCTAGATTAGTATTGGTGTTCCATGGTTTCCCATGATGCTCAAGAGATTGCTGGACTGGATTGACTTGGAGTTCAACTGCTGCTGAGTTTGATTCCACCATTCCAGGCCCCTGCTTACATGACTAGATGTTTCAAGAAACATGGTGTATCTAGTAGACTAAGTTGGGTTTCTGGATTCTGGATCTTCCCCCAAGTCAAGCAAGGTCCCTTGTGGAGAATAACTTCCAACTTATGTACTGAGTGATTTTTAACTATTTTTCTCACAGGTTGAAAAATTTTCCTTTGACTTTTCCAACACCCCCCACATCATCATGGATGATTCCCTGCATACAATGGTGGTTGGAATGCTGAAGGCTGCCTTTGGAACAGTCCCTATGATCTCTTCCAGCTCTATTTTCTCAAATCACCAGCTCAGGAAGCCAAGGTAAGCCATAAGCAGTGATGCTACACTTGCTATGTATTTAGTTGGATAATAGACTTTGATCCTTGGCTGAGTTAACCCAAGTCAGGGCAACATTGCAAGGGGAATCTGGTCTAACTTCAGATGCTATTACATCTTTGGAAGTTAGGCTGGCATCTGCAGTCATTACACATGCCATCCTCAATCCCTGTAGGTGATTTCCACAACAATTGCAAGTGATCCAAGTCTGACCCTTAATAGATGTGTTGCATTGGGATGCAGACAGGTTTTCTGAACCATTGGTGCATGCCAAGGACAGGACCATCCATTTTGAAAACCCAAAAATTGGGTATATCAATGCTCCTGCCACAGTTCTGGATGTGCATGGCAGGGTGATAGTATGGTATCTGCCTGGTATTGTCCCAGATGCATGGATAGTGAGTGTTTTCATTCTCTGACAACCCTTCACTACAGCTTTTATATCATAGGAACTTCTCAATTCCCTTCTCCTTTCCATAAAAGACAATCTTCAGACTGAGCCCAAGAACAAGCCAAAAGACAAAAGCAAGCTTAACAAATGATATGGCCATAAGCATCAGCCTGTTGACCAAGTCATGTATGGACATGGCAGGATTTCCATGTCTCCTGCCACATTCCAACAGGCTCATGAGGTTTGTCCAGGTGCTGTGATTTCCATGGTAGGGGCTGACAAATTTAAAGAGGTTGGTTGATACACTCTATCAAAGCACATCCCTCAAACAGAAAGCCAATAGGGAATGGCTGCTCAAGATTTCTTATGTGGAACACTTCTGGAGCAATATAGCAAAGGTCTCATTGCCAGATATGGCCAGGGCTGGTGATCAAGCAATGTTGGCCAAGGCTGGCAGGGTGGAGAATGAGATATCCCTGGATTGGCCATCAGTCTATACCAACATTGATATTATTGTCAATCAGGAAACTCCCTCTCACCGAGATGTCACATCCACCCCAACCCTTCTGGATTCATTAGTGAGCCTGGGTTCTCACAATGCTAAATTCCTTATTCCAGATCTGGGGGCCTGAACTGGCTTATTCCCCAGGCACCATGATTTTCCTATCAGGAAAAATCCTTCAACATTCTGTGCCAAAGTGGGAGAAGGGAGAAAGAATTGCATTGGTGCATTATATGAAGGACAAAGTACATGACTGACTCAAGGTCACAAGACCAGCATGGACTACCCAAAAGGACATTCTTGGGTTGGCTGTCAGATACACTTAAAACACATTTTAGTGGCAATTTTTGGGTACAAATATTTTAAATACATTTGATAACCTTGTTCTGGACTTGTGTGGTGTTGTTTTGGGGATGAAAAATTTTCAATACAGCTGAAAACCTTGCTTTTGACTCTTCCTGTGCTCAATCATGTGTCATCGTAGAACCAAAGTCCTTGGCAAAAGCTCTGCAGGAGGTTTGTATAAATTTGAAGTCACTAAAACCTGGAGAGGAAAGGACACCTACAAGGAGGTGGATGCTAGACACCTCTACCTCCCATCTCAGAGTCAACCTTCAACTCCAAGGACCCCCAGGACAATAGGCTCCCAAAATGTTGTCCCAGACTCCTTTGACATGCCTACCTTGGACTGGAATGATGAGGAAGATACCCCAAATACTAGGAGGGTTACCAAGGTGGGAAGTTTTGCCTGATACTGCATTGGCTAAATTATCCCCTAGAGTCAAAATGATTTCATCAGAGAATGGCTGCCTTGGAGAAGCAGAATATCTCAAAGTCATTCTTGAGGGAGAGCAGCTGGCTAAGGGGGGGATATGTGAGCAGTGCTGTCAGGCAGAAGGAAGTATCAGATGCATGTCCTGCATTGGTGTGCATGCCTGGTGTGGTCCTTGTGCTGTGAAAGTGCATCAAAATCTTCCATTCCACAAGGTACAAAGATGGAATGCTACTCATTACCAGAATACCTCTTTGATGGCACTTGGGTTCCTTTGGCACATTGGCCATGGGGGTCGTCCTTGCCCTCAAAACAGACAGAATCAGGATCCAGACTCAGAGGAGTTGGGCTATACTTCTGGGGAAGGGCCTCCCAATTACAGGTCAATGGCAGTCATATCCTGTAGCCTCCATGTTAACCTCTGGTAGCAGGAGATCCTTCAGATCAAAAATGACCATAGTGCACACAGAAGGAATTTTCACTCATGAGATTTCTTGGTGCAATTGCCCTGGGTCAGATCCAATCAACTGGCACCTTGATTTACTCAGGGAAAGACTCTTTCCAGCCAGTATAACAAAGCCCAAGACTGCTTTCACCTTTGATGTTCTTAATCACTTTCTCATTGATGCCTTGGAATGCAAGACTTCAGCTATGAGTTTCTATCAGAAGCTGAAGAGGTTCACCAACAATGCATTTCCTGACTGTATACCAGTTGAGTGCCATGCACTATTTGCTCTTAGGGGGTTCTATTAATGCATTCATTTCCAATTAGGACAGGTACCAAGAGCTGATGAGGGTTTCCAGACTGTGGAGGGATTTGAAACATAGGAAATGGTTTGGCTTTGGTCATGATAAAGAACAAGATCCTAGACAAGGAGAACTTGCACTCTTTTGTCCTGCCTGCCCACAACCAGGTATTAATTTACCTCCTGATTGGAAAACCCAATATGACAGGTATGGAGTGATAATCTGTAGGGTTTTGATTTCTAACTCCCCTCCCCCCTTAGTGATACCATAATGAGGCAATATGTCATGGATGGCAACTTCACTGCTCAGCATATGAAAATGAACAAGCCTGAGTTGGATGTGTCATTAGCAGATGGAACTGGTTACATGGTTGCTGAAAAGCCCTACCAGGCCCATCTTGAGCAGTCTTTGGATAACAAGGAGGTGAGTTGTCCCAAGGTCATGGAGTTTAAATGACCCACTGTACTGGTAGAGATCCACCTGCAGCAATCACAGGGCAATCAATGCTGCTAATATTAACAAGTCCAATCTCCAGTCCACTGGGATTGGTGCCACAGCCTGTGCTCAGCATGGTTGCTTTGTTCCCCATTCTGTGGTGGACTTTCAGAAAGGGGAAAAGTGAGTGGACCTGATGGATGTACTGGAAGCCTTTGGAACTCATTTTGTGCTAGGTACATGAACACAGATTACTCCATCTGCAGTGCTCTTGATTATCATTCAGAAAGCATCACAAAGGCCCTTGTCATTTATGATGTTGGGTGCCAGTGGAGTATTAACTTCCAGAGTCAGGTAAAATCCAGCTGCTCTCTCCATCTCCCTCCCTCCCTGGAAATCATTCCTGCTGTGGGGAAGTTTCATCTTGCTGCCCACAAACTCTCTTGCTTTCCAAGATATAGCCTCAACTTTATCAAGGGTGCTGGTCATCTGGATGGTGAAATTTTGGAGACATTGTGGGCTCCATTCAATAAGATCTCTCCCACTGCAAGGTCTATGACTCAGGCCCACAGACAAGAAGTGTATGATGACCATATGAGAGATTCTAACTGGAAAAAATTTGTCAACATGGGTGAGAGACTTTTCTTCAAAGAGAAGTTAATTTACCCTGTACATCTCAGTTCCTGCACTGTTGAAAAAATACAAGACCTCACACAAGTGCCTAGAAGAAATGAATCAGGCATATGAGCAGTTGACAGCTGTTCTAGACCCTGGCCAACTTGCCCAATGGGAGTCAGATGTTCTTGAGGCAGAAGCAAATCGAGGTGATTCCCTAGACATTTATTTGTTGAAAGGGGAAAAAGGTCAGTATGTTCCTAAGAAACCCTGGGCATGTCTGATGGCCTGTAGCCCCTACCATGGGTGAAGTGCAGTTAAAGCTCATGAAAAATCCACCTGTGTCCCCAGGGAGCCATGGTTCTGTGGCTTGGCTTGTGGAAGGAATTAGCATAGAGGATGCACAGTATGGTCTGTGGTTTCCAGAAGCAATAGGTTGCTAACCAGACCTGCAGGGACCAGCTAAGATCTGAGCTTAGACAGAGCCACATGTCTACCAGACAAGAAATCAAAGTCTCAGAGAAAAGAAAAAGACTTTCTGCCAGGATTGACAAATTCCATGGCACCAGCCAGGCATTTCTCAAAGGTTTGGAGGTGGATGATGTCTTCATACCCCAGGATGATCCAGCATTCCTTGGGCAAGGTGAAGAAATTGATGACAATGGAGAGTACTGGGAAGATGATGAGGATTGGGAGGCTACAGAAGAAGGAGAGGAGCTACCTGCTGAGCTCATGAGTATATGGATGCCCTCATCCATTGGAGCAACCAAACTGATGGAGCTTGGCCTTCATGACCTCCTCAAAGAAGAAATGGAACTCAGGATTGGGCAAGCTAATGATTGTCTAGACCAGCTCTGAACCAACCTTGGACACAAGGCAATGTTATACAGACAGAACTTCCGCAGTGCACAATCAACTAGGGAAGGTACAAGAACCAAGCAGGACATCCAAAAAGTGGTGGCTCAGATAAACAAGCAGGTCAGAAGTTATCAGAGGGCAAGGCAGGCCATTCTCCAGTTGGAACCCAATCAAGAGATTGGACAAAAATATCAGGCTATTCAGCCCCAGGACCTGGCAGTGAGTAAGGATGTTACAGAGGAGAACTGGTTTGGGCAGGGAACCAGCAAAATGGCATGGTTTTGGATGATGGATGGTGAACAGGGTCAACTGAATGCTGAGAAGGGGGGTTTAATGGAGGAGTGTAAGTGTTAATACTACTCAAAAAAATCTCACCGATAAATTGTGGGGCAGTTTACAGGATCAACTGGCTCAAAGCAAGGGCAAGAAGGGACAGGTGGAAAGAAGAATTGTCATTGGTGAGGCATGAGATGGTTTGGGCCATCTTATGGTTTGAGTTCCAGAAGGACATATGGGAGAAAAGGGCTCTACAATTGTTGGAACCAGGGAAAAAGGCTTATGCTCATAAGCAGATAGTGTTGTGGACTGACTTTTCCAAAAAGGCCCAATTGATGTTCCAAGGTAAACAAATGGATTGTATTTAGAACATGGGTATATGTGTATAGTTTTCCAATTACCCTTGCTTTGCACTTGGTATCTGAATCAAAGTGAATAGCAAATACATCAAAACAATCATACCATAATGGTACCTTTCCTAAAAGAGTGATGGCCAAAAACTTCAACCTCCTGCCTAAATTGGGAAAGGCTGAAAAATTTTCACCTTGCTTCCAACCTCCATCATCTGTGCTGCTAATTATCCCCCTGATTTTATTCTCTCATGGCTGATTGGTCTGAAGTCTACTCTGATCTGCTGTCCTCCTATGTGGAGCAGTACACAGATGCCCAAGGGAATCCTGACCTCAGGGCCCAGATCCTGGCTGATGTGAAATCCCAGATCCTTCAGCAAGCATCTTCAGGATCTGTGGAATTGCCCCAGAACTTGAGAGTGGTAGGGTATCTTTTTCATCAAGTTTCACATATCTCAAGTGTATTTAGGCCATCAGAAGGGTGTTTTTGCCAGAACTAGACCCTGAAGACCAGGATGATGAGGAACACATCATTGAGAGCATCCTGGCTGCAACAGACAAGAGGAAGGAGCAGCCTGGGACTGGTGAGGATGAGGATGGCAGAGAGGAGAGGACCAGACCTACCAAGGCTGGAAATTACAGAAAACCCTTCACTGATTTTACTGCCTCCCAGCAGCTCTTCAAAGAGGACATGGATGCCTATGATAGGGAGAGGAGGGACACCAAGGACCCCAAGACCATAGGTCAGAGGACCAAAATCATCCAACAGTGGTGGGAGTCTCTTGCAGATGACAAGAAGGCTGAAGCAGGGAGGGCTGCTTCCAAGTGGAATAAGTTGGGAGCTCCAAAAGAAACTCATGAATTGTCAGTGCTGGTCTACTTCAAATGTCTTATACTAATCATGCAATAATTCAGGTACAGGAGAAAAAATTTTCCCAACATGGCCAGAGACTTTATTGAAACAGTCAGGAGGACCATGGGGTCAAATATAGTGATGTTTCTGGCTCATGAGACTACTGATTCTCAGATCAAGATGGCAGTGTAGGTTCCCCTTTACCTTGTCTATCCAATGCTAATGAAGAAACCTAGCTTTGAAACACAACTCCCTGATGGGAAGAAGGCCTTCTCAGAGTCTTCAGAGCCCACCAAGGATTGGGTTCTAAAGGGAGAGCAAATGTTAACCAATTATCTTTTGACTGAAGCTGGTAAGTGATAAACATTGGTGATCAATGTAATATGTGTACCTAGGTTGATTCCATACTCAGCTGAGGAAGATTTGAATGATGAGAATCCAAAGGTGGAGATAGCCTTGGATGATGAAGGAAACCCAGAGGTACCAGCTTGGACTGGTCAGAAACTCAAGGTCCAGCAGAGTTTGGCAAGAATGGTCTTCCAGGCTGCCTATGGTATGTTCTTGATTGTCAAGTGCATCTACAGTTGTTGATGGAAGTTGGAAACATAGCAAAGTTTACAGGGAAGCCCAAGGCCAAGGTTCCCTGGGGCCTGCTTATCAAGTCCCATTTGGAGTATCTGAGTTCTGATTCCATCCCAGAAGGATTTGTGATGAAAGATCCTTCAAAATGGACCAAGGCCGACATGTGGATGCTTTGGAATCATTGGAATTCCCAAGAGGAGGAGGATAAGGTGATTGTTTCATTCATCAAGTGCAAAAAGGAGGACGAGCCATTGGGAAGGCCCTGGAACAGGAAAACCCCATCCAAAAAGAGAGAGTGGATGAGCCCTGGGGAGGACAGTGAAGCTGGGGTGGAGGCCAAGCCCTCAGATTTAGGGGAAGAAATTGGTGGGGCTGGTATGACCCCTATAGCAACTTCATCAGGGGCCCAGGATATCCTTGACTCTGGGAGGGCCCCATCTGAAGATACCCCTCATGAATCCAGCCCTGCTTGTCATGCCAATGGGGACAGGGTGAAATATTTAAAGTCCCTTTGCATCATGCCCAGGTACCAGGAACTTGTTGAGCTTGTAGATGGCTTGCCAGAGACAGTAAGTGATAAACTTTCTTCAAATACCAGGTTAACAAACATTTTGTACAGGAACCTGATGCTGGACCAGTCAACCTGCATGTCTGGGCATCTTGGGCCTGGAGTGCCCAGTATTTGCCCCAGGAGATGCATGGCAACGGGGATTCCTTCTGGAAGGCACTGTATCAATTGCAAAGTGAAAAGTTTGCATCCACCCAGAAAGGTCTTACCATTGTACTGGGATTTGGTTTGTTGTGGAGGGAGTGCAAAAGAGCACAGGACATAGAATCAGATGACCCTGAAGCTGCTAATCTGGGCTTTTTGCTAGGCTCAGGTCTTGATATCCACAAGGGGGAAGATGTTATGGGTGCAGTGGGGCTGGTAGTTGCAAGACTGCAGCAGAATTCTGGTGGCTCAAGCAGAGGGATTGGTGCACAGGAAACAACTGGGGTCAGTGCAGGGGATTCCTGTCCCACCCAGGGGGGTGGCATGAAGGAATCCCAGAATACAAGAAAGGATGTGAGGAAAAGAAAAAGGGGAGGCAGTGGGGATGTTGATCAGAAGATGGCAAAGGAGGGTGAAGAGGCAAGCAAGAAATCAACTAGAGCTCGTCAACCAACCAAGAGAGCTCTGGGTCTTGGTCTATAAATAAACTGTAGATGGTGTGAATCAAAAGGATCCCTATATATGGCTACCCATGCTCATTGCAAGTTTCAAACCCTGTGAGATCACTGACATCACCTGGAGGTGAAGAATGGCCATGGATTCAGGGGGTAAGGCCACCCCCCAGTGAGGTTGGCCAACACTGGTCTCAGGGGGTATGTCCATCTGGAAGTGTCATCAGAGTCAATACTTCTGGTAACATCTAAATTGACAAGCAATTGATTATGCCAAGGGAATTTTCAGGGTTTGGCCAACCCTACTTCCAGGTGGTGAGGTCTGTGTCCATCCCCCAGTGAAATCGGCCAACACCACTTCCAGGGTGTGAGTCCATCACCCAGTGAGGTCGGCCAACACCACTTCCAGGGTGTGGGTCCATCCCCCAGTGAGGTTGGCCGACACCACTTCCAGGGTGTGGGTCCATCCCCCAGTGAGGTTGGCTGACACCACTTCCAGGGTGTGGGTCCATCCCCCAGTGAGATCAGCCGACACCACTTCCAGGGTGTGAGTCCATCCCCCAGTGAGGTCGGCTGACACCACTTCCAGGGTGTGGGTCCATCCCCCAGTGAGGTCAGCCAACACCACTTCCAGGGTGTGGGTCCATCCCCCAGTGAGGTCGGCCGACACCACTTCCAGGGTGTGGGTCCATCCCCCAGTGAGGTTGGCCGACACCACTTCCAGGGTGTGGGTCCATCCCCCAGTGAGGTCGGCCAACACCACTTCCAGGGTGTGGGTCCATCCCCCAGTGAGGTCGGCCAACACCACTTCCAGGGTGTGGGTCCATCACCCAGTGAGGTCGGCCAATGCCACTTCCAGGGTGTGGGTCCATCACCCAGTGAGGTCGGCCGATGCCACTTCCAGGGTGTGGGTCCATTGCCCAGTGAGGTCAGCTGATGCCACTTCCAGGGTGTGGGTCCATCGCCCAGTGAGGTCAGCCGACCTCCCTCCAACATGTCGGCCTATCCACCATCAGGGTCTATAGGCCAATGTCAGTTAGTCCCACTTTCAGGACCAAATGTGCATGTCGGATGACCCACTTTCTGGATTACATGTGACTGAAGGGTCTGACCTTTTGGCATGCAATAGCAAGGTATGCAAATACATATATGCAGATTTCTTTATTAATTAGGACTGAACTTGTGTGCAGGTGGAAAAATCTACTTGAGCCAAATGTCATGACAAACATGCATCAGCCTACCCATGCCAGACCTGAGCATGCTGCATTATCTTTCAGATTTCCATATTTCAAGTACTCCCAGCTCACAGATACAGCTGATAGTACTGCTCATAAAGCAGTCTTAGAAAGTGCAGAGTGATGTTGGGGTCAGTGTGACCAGGAGGTCTTCATTGCTGCTGTGGTTGTCAACCCATTTTACAAACCTTCCCCATTCAAGAAGATTGCACTGACAACCTGAGCTGGAATTGCAGCATTGTCCAGTCACTTGTGGCTTTGCTTTTATGGTGGAGAGGTTCCAGTGGAACTTTTCACAGACTTGGACCATTATCTGGGATGCTTTGGTGATTTTGCATTCATGGAGGTCTTCAAAAATTCATCACTAGCTCATGCTCAACAGATGGCAAGCAAGCCCAAAACTGTGTGGTTGAAAACTTGTCTCATGTCAATGCTAGCATACTCCAGTTGATGCCCTGGAAGTGTGGAATGGGTCATCACACCCTGGTGCTGATCTTTGACCACTACACAGGATTGCAAAGTGACTGTTATCCCTCTGTCCAAACTCAGCATCCTGTGAACAGCTCTTCAGCATGTTTGGGGAGATCCTGACAAAATGGCAGAATCATTTATCAACTGAAAATCTCACTGCCCTTGCTGAACTCAAGATGTATGTGCAGGAAGAACATGCACATGATCAAGTTGTCAAGAAGTGGCTCAAACATCAGTATGCTGAAGAACCTACAGGAGCCAGCACAGCAGGAGAATCACAACCCACTCTCAGAGGGAGTGGAGAAAGTCCCCTGTCAGCTGTGAACAGGCAAGGAATTCAGCAGGCTGCTGCTGTTCTCATTCAGGGAGTTGAGGAGGAGGAAATGCAACCCTCATCAATGGAGAGTCCCACTACTAATGAACAGCAATTCACCAAAATACCAATTGAAGCACTTTTGGATTACTCTCAAGCAGAATCTTGGCTTGGGTCATTTTATGAAGTGGCCCTTAGAGGCTTAGATGATGATCTTGAGCTTTACCAACTGCTTGATCTTGATGCAGAAGGTGAAGACAACCCTGATCATGTTTTCATTGGGTAGATTTTCTTTCTCTTTACCACAGTAGTGTCTTGTCTTTCGTCATATCTCCACACTCAAGTCTACACTGTACAAGTCCTGCCGTGCAGGCTCTAATTATCTAACATATTCACGCACACTTGAGTTGTGACTTCTGGCACTGCAAATGTTCAGTTCACTTGCGTTCGTGGGAAAGTTTACCGGTGAATGTGCGGTGACTGCGATGAACGTTCCCTGACCGGCGGAACGCTGAAACGAGGAGAGTTTGAATACATTACGAGTGAGTTTTTCGCTGCCTGCAGTCGCTTTCAACTTCGCTTCTGACAAAATGACGCAGAGGAACGCTACGAGGGCATTCTCAAAGCGTATGGGCAACTTGTTGAAGGGGGCACTGCAGCCAAGGGGCACGAAGTCCGGGAGTTTCTCGGCATCCCGAAGGAGTTGTATTATCTAATCTTGACAGCTTAGAAATGATGGAGGGATCAGATCGAGGCTCCGCCGCTTCTCTGACGTAGTTTTTTTTTTGGTCTGTAGGTAGAACATATATAAAAAAATGACCAGGCCTCTCAGTCGCATTGAGGGTCGTCGTCGTCAACGATCCCACCAGAATTCTGGCTTCCTGATCCAATCAGCCCGCTCGTGAATCTGGCCATCAGCCGCCGGTGCCTGCAAAAGGGAGTTCTGCGACTGTTCCCTCAGTCTGCCAAGATCAGGACGGGGGCTAGCTGGTCAGAAAAACCAGTAGTATTAAAGTCAGCGTTGACACCGTTGGCAGGGGATTCCCGAATTTACCCGCATATCACTAGCTCGGCGGCTGGAGGCAGTGGAGTGACATCTCTATCTTCCCCAACATCACCCATGTCTCCCCCCCTCCTGGCCTCCCTCTTATCTGCTAACGTTCAGTGGGCCGAGCGGACCAACGATGCTCACCCAGACTTCTTTGGTCAGTGTGCCAAAGGACAGTCCCCAAAGGTATACATTATGCTTTTTCCGTTATCTCTCTCACACGCCTCCGAGTGTCTAGGTTCTCTGGATCGGCTGCGCAGACTCACGCGTCCCAGAGTCTGTCGTGACCGATGCGAAGCCGGGCGACATTTTCGTGCACCGTAACATAGCCAAGTAAGTCGTGTAGCGCCAGGACCTTCATTGCATGTCCACATGTTCACTTCAACTCTGTCCTGATTAATAGCCAGTTTCATCTCCACGATGACAGCGCTCTCTCCGTGCTCACATACGCAGTCCATGTCGTAGGCGTCGAACACGGTGAGTACGCCACGCCGTAACACCCGTACGCACGGTCTCACTTTCCCGCAATTGCCATCTCACTTCCCACTATCTGTGTGCATACTTGAACCCAACACTAGTCATTATTGTCGGACACACCCACTGCGGTGGCGCTGCCGCATGCTTGGAGGCCGCCCAAGCCCAAGCCTCCAACTCTCCTCCTACCGTTTCCCCAGACACTCCCCTCGGCCGGTGGCTCGCCCCTCTGATTAACCTCGTCACAACGCTTGATCTCGAGACCCTACCCGCTGAGGCTCACTTAGAAGCCATCGTCGAAGCCAATGTGAAACGTCAGGTCGAGAACGTGTGTGCGACAGACGTGATCAAGCATACCTGGGCTGCAGCCATGGGTGGCGAAGGCAAGGAGAAGAAGCAGGTGTGGGTGCATGGATGGGTGTACGACGTTGCGAGCGGGCGGCTCAAGGACTTGGGTGTATCTCGTGGGCCGCAACCTCAGTGAGTGAGTTGGTGAATGCATATATGAGGCAGTGGTGGAACGTGGTGTATTAGAGATATATTGTCAGCATTGTACGAGAGTCTGACATCTGAAATAGATTTATTGTGGTCACAAAGCAGCCGGATTGGTCCGGCAATGGTCAAGGTCCCTCTTACAATGTCATCCTTAACCTACATTAAAGAGGGGGCTGGTGACGCCTGCCTGCCAACTGCCACCATCATGGCTAACTTCATTCGCCCCACCAAGTCCGGCAGCGACTGGACTCTCAATGATCTAGACTCGTATCACATCAGCCTCGATCAGGTAGACACCCTTCTATTCTTTGGCTTACAGGTAGGCAAGGGTAAGTTTCGCTAAAGCCCTCGGAAAGACTAGCGACTTTGCACGTCACAGGAGTTGCCACAACTCGCGGTTGATCCAGAGCTGCCAGCCAATGCCGACGCTGACGCTATGCAACAAGACAGCCACGCAGAGTTAATCACTTACCTTGATTTCGCCATGATCACCGAAAAGGGTGAAACCGCCGTAGGTGATTTCGTCGTCGAGCTTTTCAAGACTTGGGGTTATGTTCATCGAGAACGAGTGGCACGCACGCGGGTGGACCTTTCGCTCCTGATTTGCGGCGAAAACAGGTACGCAAAGGCCGACGTCTGTATCGTCGATCGATCTCAGAACGATATCCTTCTTCTTGTCCAGGTGGACAAGAGGTTGGAGCACGGGGAGCCCGTCAATGCGCGAGCTCAGCTTGTAGCAGCAGCAGCCGCGGCCTTTAACGAGAAGAATGCGCAAAGGGAAGTGGTTGGACTCCCTCCTGTGGAGGAAACGGTGAGTTGTTTTGCGAACTTGTTGACCCTTTTCTGTGAGATTGTTGTTCTTAGGTCATACCCGGCATTGTCATGGTGGGTACGTCGCCCGTGTTCTTTAAAATTTCCGTCACCCGAACTCTGTCCGCTCATATTTGCCATGGGACCTATCCTCCAGAGGAAACCCGCGTGACCTATGGTTATCCGCCCGTTCCTCGTCCTGCCCGCCGGCGTAGTGAAGGGATGAAGCCTCTGGACAACAGGCGTGAAATTTTGAAGTGCTATGAAGCCTTTAGGGTGATTGCGGGAATATAACCTGAACTTAATGCAGCATGTATGAAGGAGATTATTACCACTGTCATAAAACTCGCTTAAACTGATAGGCATAGTTGAGCTTGACACCTCGGACACCTCGGCGTGAGGTTTCCCTGCTCCACCCTTGCTCCTTCCTGTTGATCCCTGAACATTGTCCCCTTCAGTGGCGATCATACCGCAGCTGATGACTTGGCAGCGGCTGAAAATGCCACCGCCCAACGTCTCCTCAAAACCTGCCTTAGTAGCTGCACGCAGTCACCGATTTCCCCGGCGCATAGCGTTCGACAGAACGGTCCCATCCACCGACGGACGAATTTCCCCCTTCCCCGAGATGTTGGAATGCAGTGCGCAAGAGTCCAGACCACCCATTCTTCGCTTACCCCCATAAACGAAGCAACGAATTGCACGGCCCGACCTCGGATTTTATTGCGCATCTCAATGGGTCGCGCATTACCGTCTGGTAGGGTCAGGGCATGGGTATCATTGTGAGGGTCGGTACACCCCGTTACTATGTGATGAATGTGCTTGTAGAACCCTCTGGCGCCTTCCTACGCCGTCAATGCCACGTCGGTGTCACATAACTTGATCGGAGATAAGGTTGGTGAACCCCAGCCCTTAGGACAAGGCGTACATGATGGTTACTCATCGATCATCCCTTTTCGTCGGGTGGGACATGAGCGGATGAGCGACGGGCTGGGGTCAGACAACCACTACAATGAATGTCTCGATGTAGACCTGATCGCTTGCTCTTCCTAAGCACCGAGTATGGAATTGATGTTACTGCGCGGCGCGAGGTTATCTGGATTGAACCGAGATGAAATAATGGACCAACTCGACCCGCCTTATACGCCTTTGATAGGCCGAAATGTACCGAAGTGAATTCACTGGGCTACGGCCCGGCGATATCCATCCCCATTTACAAAAAGTTGCTGAGCTTCTGCCAAACGAGTGCTACTCATCGGTTAATCAACAACCAGTAAGTTAGTAAACTTGTGTAATAAGGCAAATGCTTTGTGGACGAGATATAAGTATGAGACAAGTGCACAATGAATTTATGCACGAGAAATACACCGGCGTGCGACGAGATTCCTTCTAGGGGTTCAATGAGTCTGAGATGACGGCGAGGGGCATGGCCTGAGGGATGGTGAGGAAAAACTACATCGTCCGAGCAAGCCTGTAGCCAAAGGTATTATAATTGAGCGGTCTGAGCCAGATATATAGCGAGTAATATCTGCAACAAGTAAATTGCAGTTACCATCCACGGATTCCATGGGGTGAACCAAGAGTTGCTTCGGTTATGGTCCCAGCGGCATCGAATGATGGAATGCACAGAGTTTCTTACAGCTATTTCCAAATGGCGTAAAGTGTACACAAGAGGCATGTACTGATTTGGTATCAGACCACCGGGGCGAACAGAGCGACTCAAGTACCGCACCGTCTGTTTTCGCGGTCGCAGCTTCACTTCGGCACACTTCGATCCATCTCGAACTGTCTCAGTGGGCGCGGAAACACCGGCGGAATGCATACGTGGACATTCGAAACCTATTAGTAAGGGTAAGCCTTCTAGTGGCCGTGATTATCTTGGTTCGCTAGTCCAATGAAAGTGGAAGCGGTTATACGACGCTGCAGAAGGATACTTCCACGTACTGCATAGGTATGTGGCATGTGTAAAGCTTACGGTCGAATGCGACCACTATGTAAGACCGGTAAGCCTTCTGATCTTATCTGGTCCGCGGGTTGAGAGCTGTTGGATTTGATGTAATTCTAACCCCTATGTTTACATCAATCGAAGAATTTTGCGCTGTCGAGCTATAAAACGTCAGAGATCCTTCAGAAGCCCTCAGTACAGACAACTCATTTCACAATGTCTTCATCAGTATGTTCCACGGAACACTCGACGAGGCGATTCTATCCACCCGCCGATGGATCCCTCTTTGTACCCGAGATGCTGGAATACATCGCGCGACACAGCCCATACCACCCCTTCTTTGTCTACCCCGACGAACAAAGCAACGAATTGCGCAGTATTTCACATCTCGAGTTCTACCGCGCGTCTCAGCGAATTGCCCATGCTGTCCGCCCAGATCCCCAGGGTCACGACGGAGAAGTCGTCGGCATTGTCGCAAACATCGATTCCATTCTGTACCAGACATTGTTCATGGGCATAATTTATGCTGGCTGGATTGTGAGTCGCAATTTCTCTGGATGGGTCTATGTCGTGTGAATGGTTGGGTGGTATCTTCTAGCCATTACCTATATCACCCAGAAATTCGTCTGCGGCCATCATCAACTTGCTCAAGACAACCAAGTCTCATCGTTTGATAGCTACCCAAAGCTCACTTGGAGGTCACATTTCGGAGGTCAAAAGGGAGTTAGCCTCACATGGGGACGAGGTATACGATCTCCAGATCGACGAACCTCCGACCTTAGCGACAATGTATCCATACATGAACGAAGAAACTATTAACTCGCCTTTCACTCCTTATGCGAAGGGTGAAATAAGCAACGACCATGTTATGTTTTATCTTCACTCTTCTGGGAGCACTGGTTTCCCAAAACCAATCCCGATAACCCACCTCACTGGGAAGCACTACTGTATCATGAGTGAGTATTCGTCATGCCTGAAATCGTCCATGATCTCACCTCCCATCGCACTTTGCAGCCACGATGACCGAGCACCGAGCGCTAGGCTACGACGTCCGAGTAGCTGCTGGTCACCTTCCCCCCTTTCACATCATGGGCGTATTCATGCAAATCTTTTTATCGATCACATCTCTCCAAAGCATCTCTGTGTACGCCCCAACCTCATATCACGACCTCACGAAACCTCCCGTCGTCGCGAACGCCCAGAATGCGCTCGAAAATGCCATACTCACCGGGTCCGGAGGATTGTTAGTTGTACCAGCATTTCTGGAGGAATGGGCTTCAATGCCAGAGTCTGTCAAGCAACTCACCAGATTTTTGCATGTTGTGCGTACCCATCCTACTTCCCCGTGGCCTCCGTAGGTTTACGAGCGGTTCTCTTCGTCAGACCTATGGCGGCGGCCCTCTTGCCAAGAAGGCAGGGGACGCACTCGTTAATGCCGGTATGAAACTCGGATCCTTTTATGGCGCTACCGAAGTCGGCGCATTCGTAACATGCATCCACACTCCAGAAGATCAGAAAGAATGGGAATGGGTACGTCCAGGCCCAAACACATGCGTGCGGTGGGCACCCTTGGGCGATGGAACGTTCGAGTGTCAGCTGTTGGTAAGCGAATAAGGCATCTGTTGTCTTGGTGATAGGTCAACTAATCCACTTGCCACGGAACATGCTAGTCGTCCGAGACCCACCAAGTATCTGTCGAAAACTTGCCTGATGTGAAGGGTTATGCAACCTCCGATGTATTCATAAAACACCACACCATCGAAGGGCTCTATAAAGTGTTCGTCTTTTTTCTACACAACTCAGGCGACACCATTCTGAACTGCTACATTTAGTGTTGGAAGACTGGATGACGTCATCATGTTGTCGACCGGCGAGAAAACCGTGCCTGCGCCAATGGAAAGCGTTATCGGAACCAGTCGCTATGTGTCAGGCGGATGTATGTTTGGCCGGGGTCGCCCCCAAGCTGGCGTTCTCGTCGAGCCGAAACCAGAATATGCAATCGATGTGAAAGACGAGAAACTAGTGGCCGAATTCAGAAACTTGATATGGCACGTTGCACCACCCCACCTTTGAAATCATCCAATGCTGAATGTCACATCTGCATAGGCCTGTGGTCGAAGAAGCGAACAAGGATGCACCTGATTTCAGTAGAATTTTCAAAGAAATGATACTGGTCACGAGCAAGGACAAGCCTATGCTACGCACGGGCAAGGGTACTGTGGCGAAAAAGGCAACCCTGAGTTTGTACGAGTCAGAGATTGATGCACTGTAAGTTGGCACATTACCCTTGAATAGCTCCGTGAAATATCACGGGGGGTATAGGTACAAATCTGTAAAGGCAAGCTCCACGACTGGCATCGAGGTTCCCTTGCCATCGGAATGGACGGCTGTCAAAGTTGAGGATTGACTAATGGTACATGTCACTGCAGTGAACTCGAACGAGCCTGTGGACCCAGACGTGGACTTATTCGAGCAGGGTTTCGACAGGTACGCCTTACTCTTCACCCCCGCAAGATGCACTTGTTAACCGAATTACCAAGTCTGTCTGCAACGTTCCACAGGAATTGCATCAATGGCTCTCTCAAAGCGTCTCCAGACCAAAACATCCGCGAGGCTGTGTCCCGTATCAGCCAAAATATCGTTTTCGCCAACCCTACCCTTAGAGGACTTTCTAAACAGCTCGTCAATATAATTACTCACAAGGCAGACACCGTCGATCCCAAAGCAGAAATCGAAAACATGGTAAGAAGGTATTCGTCGGGCTTACCAGGTAAACGTGTCAGTGGCATTTCGGCCAGAAGAGACGGAGATGAACCACATGTCGTCCTCGTGACTGGCTCGACCGATGCACTGGGCTCCTACATGATCGCGTCCCTCATGCAGAGAGAGGATGTCGTGCGGATATACGCCTTGAACAGGCGATTAAAAACGTCAACGTCTCAAGAGAGGCGGCTTTCTACGTTCCAGCATCGTGGGTTGGATGACAAAATCTATGCAGAGGTGAGGGTTCAACCTAGTTTTATGCGTCAATGTCCATATCGCTTTCATCTACTGTGTGAACAGATACGCGATTCAGTTACTATCATCATCCACACCGCTTGGCGGATCGACCTCAATCTGTCGTTGGCAACGTTGGAACCAAATGTTCGGGGAACGCGGAATCTGATAGACCTCGCGCTGGCATCGCAGAAGATGCAGAAGCCGCGGTTTATGTTTACCTTTCGATCGCGTCTGCTCAAAATTGGGATACGAAGAGAGGTCAAGTGCCGGAAGATGTAATTGCTGATGTTTCTGTGGCAGTTGGCAACGGGTATGGTGGTAGTAAATATGTTAGCGAAAGGGTCCGTCCGTTCTCAACGAGGTGTTGGACGTGTTCCTGATGGTTCTTTTGTGTGCTCTTGATACAGATCCTGGAAATGAGCGGCTTACCAGCTGCATCATTCCGGATAGGACAGGTTACCGGTGCCGCTCCCTGTGGCGCATGGTCAATCACGGAATGGGTCCCCATAACAATAAAGTCTGGTGTGACGCTTGGGAGGCTGCCAGACCTTGGCGTGGTGAGTGAACTTTGCCGTGGTGCGGATACGTATCATCAATCTAAGTTTTACAGAGTGTTGCATGGCTGCCGATGAATGCCGTATCGGGAGCCATCCTCGATGTCGCCTTGAGTGATAACGAGCTCCCGACCATGGTGAACGTTGCACACCCTCGCCCAGTGGAGTTTGAGGCTGTCATGAAACCGATCAGTGATGCCCTATTCGAGAAGAAGATAACGAAAGAGCGACTTCCTCTTTTACATTTGTCTGATTGGTTCCACAGGCTGGAGAAACAAGCAGTCAATGCGAACGAAGAAAAGTTACGCCAAGTGGTAAGCGCGTTCGAAGATCGACGGCTAGTCCTTTCGCTGACTAGTACTGTATATGCAACGAAAGCCTGCTATCAAGCTGTTTGACTATTTACGCGCGTTCGATCAGCAGTCATCTGGCCGGAACACTAGCATTCTTGCAGTAACCTTCGCCACCGACAGAGCTGAGAGAGTAAGCAAGACTATGAAAACGTTACCGCCTCTTTCCCGGTCGGACGCAATACGATGGGTTGACTACTAGGTATCCGTGGGATGGTTCCGAGATGAGGTCTGATGATTGCACCTGATCCGCAACAGCGTAAAATAAAAGAATGATTTGGAGCTGTAGGCTACAACTCGAGGCAAAAGTCACTCTCCGTAGGATAGTGATTTCCAGGGCAAACCTGTGAATTCCCACACTCCAAATGAAGCTCTAGTTCATCATCATCGGCACTCAATTAGTAACGACTTTGCTACCTTACGCTAAGTCGCATGGGTAGTTTGTGGTTTCGGTTTTCCAATCGCGAATTCGCTGGTTAATCAGGCAATGTACTTGGATGTATCCAGGTCTGTTTCTGCCGTCCAGCGTCGCATGACCGCCCCCTTCCTTGAGGTAAAGTAACAGGTACATCAAGCACGCGCAAAGCCTACCGAGGCTTAGGATCCGGCTAACATAGTGGACACCGTCATAAGTCGGACGCACACGGTAGCAGCGATACTGGATACATCCAAGTACTTGCTAGACATGTGAGAAGCTTATGGTCAGGGCGCAAGCGACAGGACGCATTGGGCACACGTGATCTGTGACAGGTCAGATCTTCCAGTGGCAAGGTCGCATTGCTGGTTGGGACCCGAATTCACGGTGCGCTACATGGAAGAATGCATGATGTATGAGCTTGTAAAACCTTCCTATGCCATCGATGCCAACCGTCAGCGCCATAACTTGCTCGGAGATGAGGTTCGTAAAACTCAGCCCCTAGTGCACAGCATAAACGATAGCCATTCGTCCCTTTTCGTTGGGTGGAATATAAGTAAATGAGCAACGGGCTCTGGCCAGACAACCACTACCATGAACACCTCTATGACTACTATTCTACCATCTTGACTCTTGACAGCACTGTTTCTATGTCTGCATTTTCGCCATACGAAGGAATCCAGTGTAAAAGTGACAAACGTGTCATCAGTACGGGATGAGATGACACACCAAGAAGGGGGAATAATGGCTCCGATTCGTGCAGCAGACTCTGATGCACACTGTCAGCAAAGTCAAAGTGCGTTGGCACCTACATTAGTCAACAGCCGATCGCCCCAGTTACAAGCCCGAAGTCTGGTGAATACTAAGGCATGACCGAAACTACTCGGTTTTGTGTCTGCCGTGCAGCGTCGCATGACTACTCCTTTCCTTGAAGTAAAGCAACGAGGCACATAAGAAAACTACGGCTTCGGATCCGGCTTCTGTTGGCACCCGGACCTGAAGGCTTGATCACCTGCTCTTCTTGGGCGTCGAGCGCGGAAGGTAGTGGTCGTTCAAAACCCATTATCAAGGGTAAGTCTTCTAGTGGCCGTGCTTATCTGGGTCCGCTGGTCCAATGGTAGTGAAAGCGGCTATACAGCGCTGCACGACAGAAACGATTCAGGATACATTCAATTGCCGGGCATGTGAAAAACTTACGGTCAGATGCGGCTACTGTGTGAGGCCCAGACACGCGTCGTGACTAATAAGGGTACCCGGTAAGTCTTCTAATCTTATCTGGTCCGTGGTTGTTGGAACTTTGATGTAATTCTATCCCCTGTGCTTATATCGTTTGCAAATCGAAGTATGCGTTGTCGAGCTATAAAACACCAGAGATACTTCACGGGTCCTCAGTCACACAGGCAATTCACTTCACAATATCTCCATCAGCGTCTTACATGGAACACTCGACAGAGCGAATCTATCCACCCGTCGATGGATCCCTCTTCGTCCCCGACATGTTGGAATACAACGCGCGTCATTGTCCAGACCACCCGTTCTTCGTCTATCCTGACGAACAAAGTAACGAACTGCGCAGTATTTCACATCTCGAGTTCTACCGCGCATCTCAACGGGTTGCCCATGCTGTCCGCCCAGGTCGCCAGGGTCAGGACAGGGAGGTGGTCGGCATCGTCGCAAATGTCGATACCATTCTGTACCAGGCATTGTTCATGGGCGTCATTTATGCCGGTTTGATCGTACGTCGCACAATCTCTGGCAGTCCATGTAGTAGCATGAAGAATTGAGTGGTGACCTTTAGCCGCTACCGATGTCACCCAGAAATTCACCCGCGGCCATCATCAACTTGCTCAAGACAACCAAGTCTCGTCGTTTGATAGCTACCCAAAGTTCGCTTGGGAGTCTCATCGCAGAGGTCAAAAGGGAGTCGGCCTCACAGGGGGACCAAGCGTACGATCTCCAGATCGACGAACCTCCAACCTTGGCGACAGTGTATCCATATATGAGCGAAGAAACTATCGACTCACCGTTCTCCCCTTACCCGAAGGGTGAAATAAGCAATGTCCATGTTATGTTTTATCTTCACTCTTCTGGGAGCACTGGTTTCCCAAAGCCAATCCCGATAACCCACGTCACCGGGAAGCACTATTGTATCATGCGTGAGCAACCATCATGTCTAAAATCAATTAATCGCCCCTGACCCTCACCTTCCATCGCATCCCGCAGCCACAATGATAGAGCACCGAGCGCTAGGCTACGACGTCCGAGTAGCTGCAGGCCATCTCCCCCCCTTTCACTTCATGGGCGTATTTATGCAGATATTCGTCTCAATCGCATCTCTCCAAAGCATGTCTGTGTACGCCCCGACCGCGTTTCACGACCACACTAAACCTCCCGTCGTCGCGAACACGCAGAACGCGCTTGAAAATGCCATATTGACGAAGTCCGGAGCATTGTTAGTTGTGCCATCATTTCTGGAAGAATGGGCTTCATCGCCAGAGTCCATCAAGCAACTCACTAAATTTGTATATGTCGTGCGTACCTATCCAATTTTCCGATGGTCTCCGTAGGTTCACATGTGTTTCTCGTCGATAGTCATATGGCGGAGGTCCTCTTGCCAAGAAGACAGGGGACGCACTCGTTAACGCCGGCGTGAAACTCGGATCTGTCTATGGCGCAACAGAAACCGCCGCATTCACAACATGCATACGCACTCCAGAAGATCAGAAAGAATGGGAATGGGTACGTCCAGGCCCAAACACACGCCTGCGGTGGGCACCATTGGACGATGGAGCGTTCGAGTGTCAGGTATTGGTAAGCGAACGAGACGAGTGTTGACATCATGATAGGTCAGCTCACTTACCTTTGGAACATGTCAGTCGTCCGAGACCCACCAAGTATCTGTCGAAAACTTGCCTGATGTGAAGGGCTATGCAACCTCCGATGTATTCATCAAACACCCCACTATCGAAGGGCTTTATAAAGTGTACGTTTTCCTTTTCTTACAACTCGGGGGAGCATCAATCCAAACTGGCACCTACACATAGTGTCGGAAGACTAGATGACGTCATCATGTTATCGACCGGCGAGAAAACCGTGCCTGCGCCGATGGAAAGCGTCATAAGAACTAGTCGCTACGTGTCAGGCATATGTATGTTTGGCCGTGGCCGCTCGCAAGCTGGCATTCTCGTCGAGCCGAAACCAGAATATGCGATCGATGTGCAGGACGAGAAACAAGTGGCTGGATTCAGAAACTTGATATGGCACGTTGCAGCACCTCACCTTTGAAACCATGCAATGCTGAATGTCACATCTGTGCAGGCCCGTGGTTGAAGAAGCAAACAAGGATGCACCTAGTTTCAGTAGAATTTTCAAAGAAATGATATTGGTCACGAGTAAGGACAAGCCTATGCTTCGCGCGAGTAAGGGTACTGTGACCAAAAAGGCGACCTTGAGTTTGTACGAATCAGAGATTGATGCACTGTAAGTTGGCACATTAGCTCGGAGCAGCTTCATGAAATAACATGCGGGTTATAGGTACGAATCTGTAGAGGCCAGCGCCACGGCTGGCATCGAAGTTCCCTTGCCATCGGAGTGGACAATTCCAAAAGTCGAGGATTGGTTAATGGTACATGTCACTGCAGTCAACTCGAACGAGCCTGCGATCCCAGACGTGGATTTGTTCGAGCAAGGTTTCGATAGGTACGCCTCACTCTCCTCCTCTCCACGATGCAGTTGTCAATGGCGTCACCAAGTTTGTCTGCAACGTTCCTCAGGAATCGCATCAATGGCTCTCTCAAAGCGTCTTCAGACCAAAACATCCGCGAGGCTGTGTCCCGTATCAGCCAAAATATCGTCTTCGCAAACCCTACCCTCAGAGCACTTGCCGAACAACTTGTCAATATAATCACTCACAAGCAAGGCACCGTCGATCCCAAGGTAGAAATCGAAAATATGATAAAGAAGTATTCGTCGGGATTGCCAGGTAAACGTATCGGTGGAGTTCCGACCAGAAGAGACGGAAATGAACCACATGTCGTCCTCGTGACTGGCTCGACCGGTGCACTGGGCTCCTACATGATCGCGTCCCTCCTGCAAAGGGAGGACGTCGCGCGGATATACACTCTGAACAGGCGATCAAAGACGACGACTTCTCAAGAGAGACAGTTCTCCACGTTCCAGGACCGTGGGTTGGATACGAGCCTTCTTGAGTCCCAGAAGCTCGTCTATGTGGAGGGTGACACCTCGCGGGAGAACCTTGGGTTGGAAGACCAAACCTATGCAGAGGTGAGGATTCAACCTGATTTTATACGTCAAATATCTATATCACTTTCACGATCTGCGTGAACAGATACGCGATTCGGTTACTGTCATAATCCACAACGCTTGGCGGATCGACTTCAATCTATCGTTGGCAACATTGGAACCAAATGTTCGGGGAACGCGGAATCTGATAGACCTCGCTCTAGCATCGAAGAAGACGCCGAAACCGCGCTTTATGTTTACGTCTTCGATCACCTCTACTCAAAATTGGGATACGAAGAGAGGTCGAGTACCGGAAGATGTGATCGCTGATGCCACCGTGGCAGTTGGCAACGGGTATGGGGGTAGTAAATATGTTAGCGAAAGGGTTCGTCCTTTCTCAAAGGAGTGTCAGTCGCATTCCTGACGGCTATGTTCTTGACACAGATCATGGCAATGAGTGGTTTACCTGCCACATCATTCCGCATAGGTCAGATTACCGGTGGCGCTCCTCGTGGTGCATGGTCAGTCACAGAGTGGGTCCCCATAACGGTCAAGTCCAGTGTGACACTCGGTGGGCTGCCGAACCTTGGCGGGGTGAGTAAACTTTACCATGGTGTGGATACGTATCATCAACAAAGGTTTCATAGAGTATTGCCTGGCTGCCGATGGATGCCGTGTCGGGAGCCGTCCTCGATGTTGCTTTGGGTGACGACGAGCCCCCGATCGCGGTGAATGTCGTACATCCTCTCCCAGTAGAGTTTGAGGCTGTCATGAAACCGATCAGCGATGCCCTATTCGAGAAGAAGATAACAAAAGAGCGACTTCCTCTTTTACATTCGACTGAATGGTTCCACAGGCTGGAGAAACAAGCAGTCAATGCAAACGAGGAAAAGATACGTCGAGTGGTGAGTGCGCCCGGAGATCGACGGCTAGTCCTTTCGCTGACTGGTATTTTATGTGCCCCTTATACGTATAATGAAAGCCTGCCATCAAGCTGGTTGACTATTTACGCACGTTCGATCAGCAGTCTTCTGGCCAGGACACCAGCGTTCTGGCAGTAACCTTTGCCACCGACACAGCTGAGAGAGTCAGCAAGACTATGGCAGCGTTACCGCCGCTTTCCAGGTCGGATGCAATTCGATGGGTGGATTACTGGGTATCCGTAGGATGGTTCCGGGACGTGGTCTGAGTTTGCGATGATCGCACCTGATCTGTAACTGTGTAGCACGTTGTCCGTGTCGACTCGTTCGGGCAATTCGTATGTACTGCCACGAGTGTGCAGAATTAGCCATTGACGTATGTACTTTTACTTGGTTGTCGTCTTGCGCCGTCGTTATCGAATTTATGTGTCGTAAGCAGTTCGGAGGTGTTGATAATTGACTGCTGTAAAAAGTCCAGATGAAACAAACTCAAAAACGACCGCTGAAACGAAACTATTATTGTCAAGGAACGGCGTCTGATTGGGTTCTAGTATCATCAATACTTGCCCTGGAATTGTTCGTGAACAAGCTGTCACTAAGGCAGTGGGTCTTCCTGGACACGGAATGGAACGGTACCATGCATGTAGCATACAAACTGCAGTATATCAGTTGAATAAGTTGGAATTGGCAACACGTGTGGTTGTTGCTCAGCATGTCTTATAATTAAGTCCTCCCCTTGTTTGTCTGTGAAAGGCTGTCCGCCGCTGTTCTGCTGTTGTCCGCATCTGCATCAAAGAAGGTCTGCTGTCGATGTCTTCTGTCACTGCGAGTCGAACCTGACCGACCCTCAGTTGTACATTACTACATATACCGCTAGGAAACCCATCCATCCCACTCCGAGAGACCCTCGTAACACGCTATGGAATGCCCAATTCTTGTATGGATGCTCTCAATAAACCGCGATGTCACCACCGACGTAAGTCCTCTGCTTCACACCGTCTGATAAGGTACCGACGCAGCTGCCACTCTCTACGGTGGACGACAACACAAGGAATACGAAAAATGCTATGAGCTCGTCAAGAAATGCGTTCCGCACGCCACGATAACCAAAGACATTACCTCTATCGAATCTTTCCGTGCGTCTTTCTTGGTTCTCGCCCTTAATGTGTAATCATCTCTTGCCGCCACATGTTCAGGCCAGATCATATGTGAAATGCTCCCTCTTCTGATGATGCGCCACCGACGGATATCGAGGACGAAGTGGAAAGATTATGTGACGTCAAGTGGGAAACATTGGATCGAGCAGGTGTGTTCCGGTCTATAAGTGCTGTGTCCGCCTTCGTTGAAGTCGATGTTTATCTGTTCACTGACTCGTTGCTCACCCGTCGTCAGTCATCAGATGATATGCCTCCGGAAAAGTTTCTGCAGTCTATGATTGGCTACCACCTCGCTTACGATAACTCGTTATGCGGAATGGTCATGACGCAAGGTCGCCAACGACAAGTCATCAACGTCGGGCTCGGCATTAAACAGCTCTGCGTCGAGCCTAGAGGAGTACCCGTATCAGCCTACGCTGAATCATTTGCTCACAAAGTCCGTCTCTCGTTCCCCAGGCGCTCATGTCGCTGACGTCGAATACCAATCACTGACGGATCATGCAGCTCACACCATTGGAACAGTCATTCATTGCGCCCGAGCTGGGAGACGAAGTAGTCCTTCGTCGTTTATGTATCCTCCTTTCCCTCAAAGCCGCCTACATCAAGGCAGTCGGACAGAATAGAGGATTCGACTGGTCCCGTCTCGAGTTCAACATCCCCAATGAAACCGCTCGCGGCGACGATCACCCCCTCCAAGGCTGGGAATTCCGAGTCTTCAAAGCTCAATTGGGAGTGCACCGGAACGGAACTGTCATCGAAGAATCTTATCAGTGCGCTTGCGCGTTCTTCCGTGGAACGAAGGAATCCAAGTTTATATGGCACGATAACGCGAAGGATCTGGAAGCTTGGGTCCAGTTCATCAATGTTGACCAGATGATCAAGGTTATCCCCAAGTTGTTGGCGTAATAGAGTGGGTTGCAAAGTCGGAGTCCGCTTTGCTGTGTTTTCAGTTCATGCTTCCATCCACTTTACCATTTGTTATATCTATTGGTCGATGCTATCGCGTGCTATTTTGCTCCGAGTTCTCGTCATCAAGCCCATGTGCTATTACCTTTCCCCAGGAGATATATGTGTTCTTTCCTTATGATTCCTAGCTGATACCTACCTGGAACATTGTATAAATGCATACAAGACTTTGCGGAAATTAGGTCGTTGACGGCCTGTTCCCCTACTAATCGTTAGCGGGAAATGGAAGCTATGTATGTTGGGGCGCCTACATAGCTGTCCTGCGCTGTCCTCTAGTCAAGCTTCGACGGCGCTGGCGTCGACTGTGGTGACGTGTCACGAGGAACAGGTGGTCCGGAGTAATGGTGCCGCCCATCTGCAAAGCGGGGGCGGTCAGTGGCGTGCACTAACCATGTAAAGCACAAGGCGACGTACTGATCATATACCACACTGCACATATCGCCGCAAACCCTACAAACACGACTGAGGCATAATCTGTACGTGGCCACTCCAAAGTTAGCGCGTTGTCCACGAACACGAACGTGGATGACGTACTCATTGTTACCCGTGTTACGGGTATCACAGCTGGCATCGAAAACAAAACCATCGCAAACATGATCCATAGCACCGCAATCCCATTCACCACGTGGCCTGCCTTTCCAAGAGAAAACGGCGCATCCCTAACGTCCTTCCTCCCGTTGGCAAGCGAGATCGCCACTGGCATCGCATAGGAAGCACCGAGACACATCACAGCGACACCGACGAATGCATTGAAGGCTGTCGAGGAGCCGAGGTAGATAAGTCCGAGAAGGACTTGGATACCTGTGGAGAGGAAGAGAGCATTCACGGGTACGTCGGAGATGTGGGAACTGATCTTGGCGAAGTGGACATGGAATGGTATCGCTTTGTCACGCGCAAAGGCCCATGTTGCTCGTGATGCCGCGCATGAGATGGAAATAGCGCAGAACAATCCAATACCAAATACTGTGTGTAGCCAATAGATAAAAGGACTCAGTTGTCCTTGGCCGGGAAACGGACGTACCAATAAACCACTGCACGAAAGGGTGTCAGCTAGCGTAACGTTACCAGATGCCTGCTTACTAAACCAAAGCCTCCTCCCTTAGATCCCATTGCCAACGTGAACATCACACCAATCGGCTGTCCGGAAGGTACTGCATGCGTTCAGCCCACGAAACTGCAACTGCCCTACTCCTCAACAACGTACCAGATAGCAGCGTTGCAACGTCAGGTAACGTGAATACGATTGGCAGGAGGAACACGACACCCCAAATCGCGCCGATGGGAACGGACCATGCCATCGCCCTCGGAAGGACTTCGGAAGGATTATGAACCTCTTCTGCCATACTAGCGACTAGAATCCTTGAAATCAATCGGGGGAAGCAATCGGAAACGTTACTGTGCACTCACTCATTCCGATAGCAGAGTACGTGTATGCTAGATAGCATTGAAATCATCGACCATCACTACTCAGAGACTCCAAAGACCTACCAGGCTAACAGAATGACAAACATAATTGCTTCGATCTAAGCCCTGAAACCTAGCTGAGTAACACAGACAGACTTACAGGGAGCAGACCAATGAAGAAGGACCACCCCGGTGTCCATCCAGATGCTGAAGCATCAAAACCTCCCAAAGCAAACGAAATTGAGCGTCGCCCTGCTGCTGCTTTCACGGATAAACAGACTAGCGTGACTGAGATGCGTGAGACCAGGATCATCTAGCACACTCCATGAGATTCTTACCGATTATACCCAATGCAGTCCAACATGCACATATGATCTGAGAAAAAGTTCATCCGCGCACACACGGAGTGAGAAGGAGAAACACACGTCAATGGTGGGAAGATACTTGTTGAAGAACAAGCAGAACACCAATGTCACTGCAGTCACTCCTAGAAAGATGACATCTGTAACAATCAGACTGTCGAAAATGTCACACTGACAACGAAATGTGCCCACACGTCTGCCAAGGAGTTGCTACCCAATCAGGGTAGTAAATGCCAACGCCAGCGACAATGAGCTGCGCGGTTCCTATGCATATAAAGTCAGCCTTGGTGGTCAGCCAGTCGGTGAAGCTCTAGTACCAAACGTGACACTCAGTGCAATGGTCCAAACGCCCACCATGGTGAGCCATCCGTTGACCCAAGAGAGTAAGACCTTGTATCTGGGCGAAGCCAAGCGGAAGCACCAGTAGTATGCACCTGCGGACGTGGGGTACTTGGAACATATCTCTGCGAGCGAGAGAGCGAGCGCTTGTGTGAATGCAGAAACCAGGATCCACCTAAAAGGAAGAAGCACGTGGAGATAAGAAAGACTGATGGGATCCTGACGCACCCCCAGACCATGACGGCGGGTCCACCGCCGACGAGCGACGTAGCTATGGGAGCGGCAAGACCGTAGGCTATGCTACAGTGTGGGAGTGTTTCATTCAAAACTAAAGATGACCTACGGACTGCCATGATAGCTGGGTGGTTGATTCGTTACTGGGTAAGTGCCATTACTAACAAACGTCGTTGAAACTGACCTAGAGTCACTGAAGGACTGTTATCCTCTTTTATACCAATGCATACAAAACCGACTTACTGAAGAGAATGTGTGGCAAACCACGACTCTGGATCGCCATGGTATGTGAGTCCCGAGGGAAGCTGCAAGCTGGAGGAGACAAACTCTGGACATTTCTTGGGTGTAGCCTAGCTTTTGGAGGTCATCGCGGGCAGCGAGGTCGACATCAAGCTGTTCGGTAGCCATGATGTCTTTGAGGCCCAATATGAGTCTTCGACTCGTTACTATTATACATACCCCGCGTCCCACGCTAAACCCGTGGGGCTCGGTGATCCGAGATAACTAGGCAAAGCATTAGCACATATCACAGTTAGTGCACTCCATCTCTCCACGCGTTTTCGTGAATCGACGATGAAGAGAAATCATCGTCGGCAACGTCATAGTGAACAGGTATGTTGCACAGATGGTGGGTGCGCTCAGTGCCCTTCAGGGGAGCACCTCGCAAGCGTTCGCAGCCCGAACGCTGAAGCGGTGACGTATGAATCCCTCGATCTCAAAGTCATCTTTACGTACTTACCTCGTGTCGGCGCCTACATATAAGTACTGGTGGATAGCTTCTGCCCTTCTGCCCGGTTTCATCGAGAGATTGGTCAGCTGTTTTGAGCGAACACGGAAACGAGTATCGCCGAAGCTACACTCTTCCTGACTTTATGGACGGAGAAAATATTGACCAGCGATCAGTGGCTCTTGCACTGCAATCCGAGGACAACGTTTGACTTCCCGTCTCTCTGGTGTGTCGTTCGACTTGTTCCGGCATCCACGCGTCCGAGGCGCGTCTATAGACTCTCTTGTCAAAAAAATCGTTTATTTTTGTCACGCGTCCCATAACGTTGATGTGTCGTCAGATGGCGCAATGAGCAGCTGCACTTCTATAAAAGGCAGCACTCAGCTATCATATAACCCCTGTTACCCAGTGAAACAACTGCGCCCCGCTGTCCAGAAGCAGCAATATCGGTCGAGTCCACGTCAACTATGTCCGTCCAGGCATGCTCGCTGTGTTTTCGAGAGAGATCACCACAACAGCTGATGCGCTGTTCAAGGTGTAAGAACTCCGTCTACTGCGTACGGCTATGCAACTGTAATTGTGGGCAGAACTTCTGACGACTCGCGCTTTTTGCGTACAGTCTAGTATCTGCCAGTCGACCGACTGGCCCACTCACAAGTCGCGATGTTCCCCCACCGCACAACCCACCCCTTCCCTGCGTCGCGTGCCGCCGCCACATGCGATAACTGGCGTCACCATTGCTTGTAACGCTGAAAGAGCACAGGGTGCTCCTGCCCTCCAGACAACTATCGTCCAGCCCTCCCACCCAATATACCTCTGTGGCCTCCCTAGCCCTATATCCCAGTCTTTCGGTTTCCCCATCCTCATATACCGCCACATGACGGATGACCCTACCAAGATGATCCGCCATCCAAGCTTGGACAATCAGATGGCTATGCATCTACTCTGTCAACCTAGTACGGGCAGCCCAGACTCAAGGTGAGTGAGCGATTTATCCTCCACCCGCAGGTGACTGACGATCGCTACAGGTGGAAGAGAGCAGGTTGCATGGGAACGGTTAGTCACAATTTAATAAAGAACTCGACGAGTGGGTTGTTAAATGTCACGGTCTAGGTCACCGTCATCCGCCAAGACGGCCAGCCTCTCACATGCGAAGCTCTGGAAACCACCCTGATGTACGTTGACCACATACTCGACCTTTTGCGCGACGGTATATCACCCTGGCATCAATTAAATCCCGTTAGTTTTCAAACCTTCTGTCAACGATATAAAGACGAGCGGGTGAACAGTGGTTATGGTTATTTCGACATGATGCGTGTTCCCCTTTGATTCATGCTTTCGTCAGCGTTTTGCGTTTGCTTGTTGTGGCTTTTAGTGATTATTGATTGCAAGCTTGTAATATATGCAATGCTCAGATTAATCTAATGCGATCGTGTTCAAGTACTGACAGTTCTTTGCAAATTCAGTACGTCTCTTCAGGTGAAACTACTATGAGTAGTGCTCAACATCCTATAACTCTTGCATGTCATACCTCCGGTGTTGTTGCCGAGTTTGTGTTGCTTTCCTTGATCCTGTTTCTCATCCCTGAAACAGAAACGGGGTCCTCCGCAAAGCACACACAACGGGCTGCGTTGTATAATGGAGACACGTCCCTCGATAAATGTGAGGTAGAAGGCTGACGCAGGACAGGATGCCAAACGTCGCTACCAGCGCAAGTGACCCCAAACCAGCTTCCATACTCGTCGGGTTGCACCGGGTTGAGGGGAAGAGTCTGATTATCCTGGGGTGTGGGTTGACATGCATGTTAAGATATATTAACCCATCACTAAGTCTACGATACCCAGCAAAACTGTGTGAGCAGAATTGCCCTGTGGCCCTTCTGCGCACACGGTAGAATGATAATTCTTCAAAGCCGACTGTTTACTTTCTTCGTCAACTTCTGGCCTTCTTGCAACATCGGCCGGAGGCTTTTCTGGGACAATGGTTCAGTTACCCCGAAGACGAGACAAAATACAAGTGCTCGACGTACATAGTACCCTGGAGTAGTGCCTAACTGGTTGAGAGGTTCACACTGGGCTCTTCGCCAAAGCTCTTCGTAAACACGCCCATCAGACATTCCTAACGCACTAATAGACGAAGGGAAAAACAGATCAGCAGAAGGGAACTTAAATGAAGTCAAAGATTTCTATGGAACGCGAACCTATCAAGAGCCCAGTCGCAAAACGAGAATGCATCCGTCAATCCAATAGCGTTAGGTAAGAGCAGTGCACAATGGTGTTTGATTGCCAAACGTAATTTACGGTCTCCGGATTGGTGTAACAACCCCGTCGAGAAAAGATCAACCAGCGCATCTTCTGCAGTAGTGAGCAAATACTAGGTACGGCAAGCATCATGATCCATATAGTACGAACAAAGGGCGCGAGGAAACTTACTAGATGATGCAGCGCGCGTATGATATCGCCCTCTTGCCGCGGTAACAGATCTAGACCAGTAATCATTTTCCCGATTTGAACAGCTATGAAGGCATCCGTGACAGCCTTAGATAGCCTCTGATTCGCGTTCGCATCAAGTTCATCCATAGTCTCCACGAACCCTTTCAACACGAGAGCAGCGCGCCATTCAAGCAGACAGATAATGGCATCGGAATCCTCCCATGTCGTTGTATCCACAACAGGCTTTGGATTTTCGCCTTTCAAAAGCCGGATGTAGCTCGAATGGGCCCCCAGAGGTGACGCTGGAGTGGAAAGAGAAGCCCGGTACGCCTTCACAGCTGCACGTACTACTTGTCCGTCCAACACAAAGTTATCGCCTTCGTATCTGGTATAACTTCCCCATGAATGACATCGTAAGCGCGAGTCTCTGAGGTGACATACAGCACAGCGGGGAGATAATCGGCATACAGGCGCCCAATGCCTGCAAAGGCACTGTACCCGTGTCCACCCAGCGCACGTCTGGCAGTCTCGAGATCTCTCACTGCAGCGCTGGTGACGAGAACTTTTAAACCACATAAGATAGCATGGGCCTCCGGAAGTTTCGTGAAGTCTCCCCGATCCAAATGTCCTCTGACAATAGTGAATTCCTTCATCTGAGAAGTGGTGCTCAGATTGTGTCCCACCCTTCACGAAAAAAAGTTACCGTTTGACGGCCAAGTACAATGAACACGTAGGCACGAGAAAGAATAGGTATTAGCCGGTAGTACGTTGATGGGTATTGGATCACTTGGCGCTCTAGACCATGTTCATCGCGTTCTCCCTGACGCCGGACAGTGGTATAGCGGATAGCAATAGTTATCGCTAAGCGTGATAATCGACACATGACAAGACTCAACGATGCGGCAGCACCCACCTCTTGCAATGGTCCATCCTGCAGTCGTAACCATGCTGAGAAGATGTGTAAATCCGGAAAACCGAGAATATTCGCGGCAAGCAGTCACCTTGCTCGTATGTACATCATCTTCAAGTAGTATCACGGTGAGTCGTTACTAGTTCTTCAATATGGGGACTTACCCCACCAAAACTGTGTTTTGGGTTCCGAGGCTGAACATATCGGCCATCCTCGGTCACCTCTGCAAACTTGGAAAACATGTTAGCCCGCGGGATTCGGATGTGGTGGAATCTTGCGTAGCCGTTATCCATCGCTGCAAGACCTCCACAAGCCTTTGGGCCTATGTCGCCAATGGAAATTCCCGGTAACGTTGTGTGATCCTCTACACAAGTCAGTGCATAGGTACCCGTCAAGGTAAGCACACCACACCTAGCGACCGTAGTTGAACAAGAAAGAGATGTGGACCGACATCTTCCCCTCCAGGTAAAATCAACTTTGCTTGAACGATTCCATGGGTAGCCGTTTTACCCAATCCGCCGATCCACCACTTAGTACTCGTTAGCGTTGGTGAATGAATCTCGAACTCCTGTGTTTCGGGGATATACGTCGCGGTAGTCTCCAGACAAGCAACATTAGAGCCGTGACCAAGCTCTGTCTGAAGATAGCACCTGAAGCCCAATAAAGCCACCACATTGCGTGAGTAATATGTAGGAGCTCACCCTTGTATTCCCTTGTTGGACACGAGATCCCAGTATTCCAACATCATTGCAGAAGAGGCTTGACCGAGGAAGACGGGTTCGAAGGCTTACATGGCATCCATGATTCAGTTATCGACAAATTTGTATTGCAGTGATGTGATCCCCTTACCGACGTTGTGCAATCCGATGGGGAGTACTTCCGATAAGACGAACGCAGCCTGATCTCTCTCCTGCTTTGACCAACCATGGATACGCTGTAACTCGATCAAATGCTTTGTGATAGCAAGGGCTCTCTCGTATGCATCAACTCTTCCAATGAAATTGCTTAGGTAGACAAAGACTAGGTCAGAGTTCGTTCGTCCGCGGTACGTCTCGCCAGGCTTTCTCTCACCTCTGAGATTTGTCGAACACAGGATCACTCTTCAGGATATCTTCAATCTTCTTATGAGTCTCCCAGTTGGGCCTTCCTGCTATTGCAACGCATAAGCTCAAGACTCAAGCTCAAGAGCGCTCGAACGGCACGACTAGATCACCGAATAAGTAGTCCCGTACGGTTTCCACATTGAACGAGACGCTGGCCCTCGCCACCCTCATGTCCTTGGCTGTTTGTGTTGCGATAGTGACAGGTGCCATCACGCTTGGCCTTCAGGGAACTCGGAGCGCAATCAGGACCCACGGGTGTGCATGTGAACGGCGACCGGAGACCTTTACGTACTAACGCAAGTCCAAAAGCGCTTGGCAGGGGTTATGTAACGCGTACATAAATGGTATATATAGTATTCAGTCGGTCGATCTTGGCTGAGACCCTCGGCGGATCCAAGTTCGTTCCTTCAGGTTCAGTCACTCGTTTTTTGAGGTGCAGTGGGTGCTTTTCGACAAAACCATGGCAGCAACCCGTAACTCACCACGTCGACAAATTTACAGGGACGTCTACGATGCGTCTTCTCCTCGTCCACTCCTTTCTGTCAGTATTTGGAATCGTACATGGAGCAGTTACAGTTTATGGTCCACATGTCCAGCAACCTCTCGGTTCGCAAACGGTGACGGCTCCCTCAGCCTCGTACACCGGCGCTGCTACATATGATCAGACTGTTTTGACTCCACCCCCTGTACCCAATCCACCACCGCCCACTTCTTTTGGTGTGCAGCTGCAAACCGGTGGCGCTGCAACCGGCCTTTCCATACCCCAGAGTGGTGCATTCTTTGGTTTTAGTATCGAATTCAGTGTCGTTAGCCAAGTCCGTAAGTATTGTTGACAGGTTTGATGAAATGGATGGCCCGCTGAAATGATCCGACTTGAAGTTGGCTTAAACAGGTGATTCTTACATGTCATGTTTATCTGAGTTGGTATGCTCATGACTCCGGGAACATCAGCTCGTTCATGCAGGTGCCGTTCCTAAACTTAATGGCTAACCTCAGGGAACGCGCCGGAAGCGTTCAGGTGCGACTTGGTGGAAACAGTCAGGAAACCGCTACGCTGGTCAACTCCATTCCGGACGGAAAGTCTATGGAAAAGGACACGGTGAACACGTCCAACCCGGTATGTGAAGTATAGAAACGTCACTAGCGCATGTTTACATCTTGTTTACAGACTGATACTCCGCCTTTGCTCTTTACGCCAGAGATTATCAAGATGATGGCCAGCATATCCGCGTTGACGAATGTTCGCTGGTACTTGGGTAAGCATTTTGCTGAGATCCGGTCTTCATTTTCATGACTCGCAAAAGGCATTCCATTCTACGACACCTCAAACTTCCAGCTACAAATAGCTGAGGTTGGCGAAGCCATTCTCGGTGATTACTTGGTTGGTTTACAGGTACGTTCCGAAGGACTTCTTTGGAGATAATAATCTTACATGATCCCAGGGCGGTAACGAACCCGATCTCTATTCCAAACACGGTCACCGTCCCAGCGTATGTAGTTCCGTTGCACCCGAACCCTTGAGCTCACTGTTACGTAGTCCTACAGCCCACAGGATTATACGAATGAGTTCGGATTACTCGTCAATGCAGTGAACGCGGATCCCAACTTACCAGACAAGGACATTCTCATCGGTCCCAATTTGTCTGGCACCTGGGAGCCAGAGCAGGTCTGGGATACTGGTTTTGCTACCGATTATAGCCAGAGCTTAATCACGCTTGCCGTTGAACAGTACTGCCCAAAGTCTTCTTTCGCTGGATGTTTTCTGATAACTTCCTAGTTACCCAACAGATAATTGTTATGCCCAATACGGTACCGGCACGCCGCGCAATCCACAGGATATGTTCCCTACGTACCTGACGCACAAGTCTGGGCAAGACATCGTATCACCATATATCAACTCGACCGGTTACGCACAGTCATTGGGGAAGCCCTTTGTCATGTTTGAAACGAACACCGCGTCGTGCGGTGGTTTCCCCGGTCTTAGTGACAGCTTTGGTGCCGCCCTGTGGGGTGTTGATTATGCTCTTCAGATGGCCTATGTCAACTTCACAGGTGCTCTGTTCCATGTTGGTGGTCAGAGCGATTACTATAATGTAAGTGATGTTATCCCTTCTAGAGTAAATAAAAAAGCTCACATGCTGTTCATCCAGCCCTTTACCCGTACGTTAAAGGCTCACCGTTTCATTCCTCTCCCCGCTAACTCCTCCAAGCTCCGGTAACTAATCAATCGACGTTCCACCAGTGGACGATCGGACCTATCTACTATTCCGCACTGCTCGTGGCAGAAGCCTTGGGCTCGTCCAACCAGTCCCGAGTTCTTGACCTTGGCATGAATGGAGGGAACGAGTTCACGCCTGGCTACGCCATTTACGAAAACGGGGAACCTACGCGAGTCGCTCTGATTAATTTCGTTTCGGACCCTACTGGTGCAAGTGACTATACTGCAAGCATTTCCCTCGCCGGTGGGTCGACACCAGCCCAAGTCAAAGTAAAGTAAGCAGACGTGATTTTGCTTCTTGGATATTCATTCACCTTCTTTGTAGATACCTTTCAGGGAGTTCCGTTGCACAGAAATGGAACTTTACGTGGGCGGGGCAGACCTTTGGTGACGCATTCACCTCTGATGGACGTCCGGTAGGCAATATTGATGTCCAGACGGTGACCTGCGACCAGGCGAATGGGGTCTGTAACGTCAAGGTACCTGCACCCGGCGCAGCGTTGGTCTTCCTCAGTGACCAAGCCCTCGAAGAATCCGATCCCGGTCCAACGATGACCTTCCCAACGACGGCCTACACCAAATTGCACAATACTGCCACCATCGACCCGTCCGCGCTCGCTACTTCGAATGGCAACATGGGCACGGCAGACTGGCTGGCTGGCACGAGCCAAGGCTCGTTGGAAAACAGTGCCTCTGGATTCGCGCAGGCATTACCGAGTCTTGGCGCCGTCATCGCTGGTGCGCTGCTCGTTGTTCGAATGGCTTACGCAAGTTAGGTGACGATTCGAGACCATTTACAGTTGGCTTTTTTATTCTTTTGGAGTCTTTGTTGTCTTATTCAGTCACCGGTAGTTGCATTTTGATTACTTATTTCCGCAATAATGCTTGGAAAGGGCAGATATCTACCTCATCCCAACGAGTTTTGAAGGTGTAGCATACCCTTAGAATGCGAATATATTCGTGCGGTTGGCAGAAGACAAGCACATGCAAGCACAAGCTCGAAACGATGTGATGACTCGGTAACTGAAGGAAAATATGACGGTTGGAAATAACACTGCCAAGATTTGTGGTGCGTCCGAGACCGTGGCCTCAGCTCCTCGGCCTACCCAGCACCGTTGTCATACTTTCCTCCACGATGCAAGACGCTATTCTACTCAAAGGGGCTAAGGCACCAAGTGTCAGGCATGGCTTATGACATACACAAGCTAATACAAGCAAACCAATGTCCTAAAAATACAGGACCTGAATCTGTCTTCGTCGGTTCGCCACTCATTTTTGCACTCTCAGAAATCATACAAATGGTTATGATTCGTCGGCCTTCGCCTTTTTCGCCACCGCAATAGTTGGAACGCTTGCGCCCCGTATGCCAATGTCGGGTCCACCGTCAGGTTCGATGGCTCGCTTGCGTTTTTCACCCACTTGTTCCTCGCCAGTGGGTTTGCTGGGGCTGGTATCGTTATCTTTCGGTTTGGATCTGTCACTGTGACCATCTCCGCCACGGCCACTTTGGCGACCTCCGCGACCACCCCCACGACCGCCGCGTCCTCCACGACCCCCACGACCACCACGAGAGGACGACCCGTTACGAAGCTGTGAACGGGAGAGAGCAGAACGTGCCGCAAAGTTTGCACGCTCGATTTGGAAAGGTTTCTCTTCTTCCTCTGCAAAAATGTTACGGTGGTAATGAACGAGGGGAAGCATGGGGAACGTACCATCTGGGATAGACCATTCGACTTCTTTTGAATTCACAGTCTTGACGTTTTCCTTTACATAGGCGATTTCGTCCTCTGTGAGAGCCTTGTCGAATCCTACAAAGCCATGATCGTCTCCTTTCGAGAATTGGATATAAGGAACACGTGCAAATCGTTCGCGGAGCGGGGCCTGAGCAAGCAAGATTAGTGCGTCACAATAAACGTGGCCATAGTTAATATTCACACCTTTATCTCAGTGAAATTGGCATCTCCCCCACAGCCTATGAATTTAAGAGTTGCCCCTTGGATGAACGGCACGTCCTCCTCTTTCACGTACCCGACGTTGTCGTCGTCGTCATACACACGGATCTTGCTACCCATGAACTCCAAGTATACTTCGGGTTTCTCCTTTTTCTTTCCATTGGCTTTTCCTTTCGACGCATCCTCCATATCCCTGAAAGCGTTAAATCCTTTTCGGTTAATTTTATCCTTGCGAAGTTTGGCAGCTTTTCCAGTAAGGCCTTTTTCCTTGATCTTCATGTCACAGTAGGCACCTCTGTCGGAGGCAGGAGTGAGCCTAAACCAGTAAGTTTTCAGTCGGAAGACCCACTTAGACATGGTCAATAATTCCTCGCCGTTCCAAGTCGGCTTAGGATCTGCGTTCAGAAAGGCTTCCACAGATGACATGTTGGCGAATTCAACGAACACGGAACCCTGTTGAGGCGAGAGAGCAAGTTGAATGTCATCTTATCGACTATTGTAGCAACGTAACGACAAACCTTGAACTCCTTGCTTCCATCCGTGCGGCGCATCCTGACGGCGTTAACCTCGCCATACTTCGCAAAGAAATCTTCCAACTCCTTCTGCATTCCGGGTTCTTCATTTCCAAACCCTTTCTACGATCCCCTTAGTCGATGTTGCATGGCTTGCTTCCCGGACGCAGAACCAGGGATGAGACTTACCGCGTATACACTGCGTTCGAACTGGCCCTTAGGCGGCGCTACTTCCGTGCGCCGTCGTAAGTTCTCGCCCTTTTCGTCCACCTCAAGTTCCGTACTCTCGCGGAGGGCGCGTAAAATGAATTCGTGCCCTTTTTCAGTATACTCTCGCATACGCTTGAATGATGTGATAGTTTTGATGGGAACCCAATGTTCTTCATTGGCGGTGTGAAGGGTCCACATGAATCTTTCATTTGTAATGATGAGCGTTCTGTGAGGGAAACAGCAGATGAATTTACTTGTCGAATGGAAGGTTGGAATCTGCGAAGTAAAATTCCACTACAAGAAAATTGAACGAGGTCAGTCGAAAACTAACAATAGGGTAAACTTACTTTGTCGCCGAGCGCCTCCCAGCAACTGCTCATCGTTTGAATCACCACCGTCCATACCTTCCTTTTCTGCTGTTGCAGCTGTCTCGCCATTAGTGAGGAGAGCCTCCTCCGGTTGTGCGGGTTGAGATTCGGCAGACATAGGAAACCAAATGAGTAAGATGCGATACGACAGACAAGGTGGAGATAACGATGCGAGTCAGCCAGAAGATATCAGCACCAAATATCAAGCTTTCAAGCTTGGAGTGGTGACGATGTTCTACCAAATATCGACTTGGTTCGATTATCTACGTTCGGCTAAACCCGGCGTTCCTGGATTAATCCTTATGCGTTGTCAGGTATCTTGTATTCTCATAGTAATAGTACTTTCTCTACAGGCTCCCGCCGTACTTCCACTGGCGGGGGTTTTGGTATCAATGTGTGCGGCTGCTAACACTGAAGACTGTCATGTTCTCGATCGTCTCTACGGATCTGAAAAACAAAAAAAGAAGAGAATGATTGAGTTGTGCGACGAGTGGCCTCTTCTTATACCTGGCAGGATACAATCCCTCACCCCACGGTTCTCCACTTACCTGAGGAAATGTAGCACTTCACTACCACTTTTATGTAGAACGCAGCTTTTCGTGGCGGTACCAGGCATTTCTCCGTGCACATAAGGCTTCAGGAGCCTGGGGAGGGTGAGCGCTCGAACATAATAAGCTTGCGAAACAGGGCATGGATTCCGGGAGGGTATTGCAACCTCAAAGGCAACAACTACTTGTACAGAGTCACGTAGAAATTTCTACTACATCAGAAAACGAGTGGTTACGCAGGGCTGAAGAAGATCGACTGATTTCGGTCACTCGTAATGGGGCTGTAAGGTTCGGACCGACGCTGTCGGCCGCACGTCGCTTGTTCAATATTCTTCTGACATTTCTTCTACGTATCTCACTTCTGTTTGACCTAGTTCTTACCCACACCCGTTCGTACTGATATTGCATGCCTGCTATCCCTACTATGAAAAGGGCCATGCATCCTAACATACGGGGACGCATTTCCTACCTACCTGATATGCAGACCTTGGTGTCCTGGAATTTCGAAGTACCTTCAGGAGAAGCTCCTCTTGTAGTGTCGTCGCAAGTGCTACACTTCGCTGTCGCCACTACAGGGGCACTCCAGTAATAAATCATCGGACAGAGAGGCGTTGTATACCAAGGCAATCTGTTTCGCAGTCGCTCCTCTGGTATTACAATGCCGGCTGCGAAGAAAGCGGGCTGAGCTAGTTGCTGCTTTCAAATGCGGAAAAGCGAAACTTCTTGCCAGATTTATCACGTTGATCGACATTTCCGTCTGGAACTACCGCCATTTTACGCCCATACCTATCAGCCTTATCTTGTGAGACGAGTGCCGCGGAAACAAGCACCTTCATAGGCATCACTGTGGATGGGTCCTACAGGCTATCCAAGATACACCCATCTGGTGGCCGTAGGCAAGCTTCGCTCTATTTGCGTACGGCTCAAAACACAACACACAAACCAGGTTGCGCGTTGTCGACGACATGGTATGCATGATAGCGCATGTTTAGCTTGCGTCGCTACTTAGCACTGAACGGAAGCGAAGGACGGACCAGAGCTCGTCCAAGGCCCGAACAGTGAAGTGTATAAGTTTTCCGTGTACGGTTAGCTGGGAAAAGTCGTTCTCACCATACTGGCATGCGCATTGGATAGTCTGCATCAGCCCTCAACTTCACGAGCAAGTGGACCACCTTCTCCGTTCCTGTCGCCTCTAACCTCGGTAGGTCGCACACTCTCCGTACTCTACCCCTCGGGGGCTCAAGGATGACTCAGTACATCCTAGCAAAACCCTACTCCCGTCTGGCGTACTAGTCTCTAACTATGCAAGTCGTTCTATCAACGGAGCAGACCATCCTCGCGACTGCCGTTGTCTCTATGTTGTGCGCGTTGCTTTATCTGATGCGCCCACCGAAAGGCCTTCCTCCGGGCATTACTGGGCCTAGGTGTTTATCAGAACTTCCCAAAGAAAAAGCATGGCTGAAGGTGCAGGAATGGAACCGCCAGTATGGTGCGTGACCCGGCTCATCGATCAACTGATCTTATATGGAGAACCATGCTGCGGTTAGGTGATATTGCTTCTGGGTATTTTCTCGGGTCCACAGCCATCATCGTTGGCTCTGCGAAGATTGCTGCGGAACTCCTTGAAAAGCGCAGCGTGAACTATTCTGATCGTCCGCAGTCGGTTATGGCCGGTGAGCTATCGGGGTGGGGAAAGATCATGTTACTTTCCCGATACAATGACTGGTTCCGCACTCATCGAAAGTGGATCGCGCAAGAGATAGGGAGCTATGATCTGGTCAAGAAGTTTAACGGATTGATTGAGTTCGAGACCCGTAGATTTCTTCAGTGCGTACTTGATGACCCGGAACAACTGCAGGCCCACGTTCGCAAGTAAGTATTTTAAGACTCGTCGCTATTATGTGACCAGTAGTGACACTTGTCTCAGGAATTTCACGTCCATCATACTCCGCATTACTTATGGATATAAAACTATAGAAGGAGACGACCCTCTGGTAGACTTGGCTCACTTAGCAAACTCACAACTTTCCCTGAGCACAGCACCGGGTGTTTACTACGTGGACTTGGTGCATTCGTGTAGGTGGTTTGTGTTCTGGATATCGCCACGACCCATCATGTCCACAGTGAAGTACCTACCCTCATGGCTTCCAGGGGCAGGCTTCAAACGAAAAGCCAAAGAATATGCCGTTGTCATCCGTGATTTGGTTGAAATTCCTCACAATTGGTTGAAAAACCAACTGGTAAGTCTGCCAGGTGGCGTGCCCTAGTTATGCTACCGCACTGACTGCTGCCCAGACGGCCGGTACTACTTTGCCGTCATTTGCTGCCCGCCTATTGAGCACGCCTGATCTGACAGAGGAGTTTGAAGATAGTGTAAAGTGGGCATCAGCAACCTTGTATCAGGGTAACATCTGCTGCGCTAGTGTGTTCCGTGTGCTGACGTTCTCTATAGGTGGTGCGGACACCGTAAGTGCCATCGAGTGCGACAAACAACTTGATTGCTTACAACCTTCGGTATTGTATTTATTGTTCAGGCGAACTCTGTTGCCTATGGCTTCTATCTTGCGATGACCCTTTATCCATGTGTCATGAAGAAAGCACAGGCCGAACTCGACGCCGTTGTCGGGACCAAAAGGTTGCCGACGTTTTCCGACCGTCCTAATCTGCCTTACTTGGAAGCGTTGCTCACGGAGCTTCTTCGATGGCATTGTCCTGCTCCCTTGAGTGCGTCCGTTCAGGTATTTGGTTACTTTGCTTACTAAATGGCCAGCTTAGCGATAAGATACACCGGGAGTGACGACACATACGAGGGATATTTCATCCCAGGGGGTTCTTACGTCGTTGTCAATATTTGGTGCGTACATGATTGATCTGGCTCTAGGGATGTGCAGACTGAGAGAGTAAGGGCGATGCTTCGCGATGAACGCACCTATACGGATCCCTTGGAGTTCAAGCCTGAGCGGTTTCTAGGCGATAATCCGGAGCAGGATCCAAGAAATGCCTGTTTTGGCTTCGGTCGAAGGTGGGACAGTCGTTTCACTGACGCTGCGAATACAATGATCTCTAACTAAGATCAATGGCATAGGCGATGCCCAGGTAAGTGGTTGGGACACGCAAAGCGGTAATCCTAGCACCTGCCTAATCGTTCCCCAGGTTATTTCCTCGGAAGTTCCTCTGTTTGGCTTATGTGCGCTCAAGCTCTCGCCGTATTCGACATCTCCAAGCGCTTCGAGAATGGAGTCGAGATTACCCCTGAGGTGAATTTGGTGGGGGAAACTATTTGGTACGCCATACCTCAGCCGGTTGCTTGTTCTCGTCTTATGATGGGTACATAGTCACCAAGCACCGTTCAAGTGTTCCATTAAGCCTCGTTCTGCGGGGGCCTTGGCTCTCCTCCGAGAGGACTTTTTTATTCCTCGATCATGAGATAGGTGCAAATTCACACAATTGACCCACTACCTTGGACCACTACTTCCATACAACTCCCTGATCCAAGAATCGTACGAGCGGCGTGCGAAGCCGCCAATTTTGGGGGACGTTTCATATTCAAGGGAGGATGTTATCGGGCTGCATTGCTTAGTAATCAAGCCGTTTCCCTTCTCTTGAAATGAAATTCCGTTGTGATTATCTCGCAAGCACAGCACTTAAAACGCACGAGCCACCGGTGGTCAAACAGGAGCGGGCCAAGTGACAAAATTGCCTGTGTCAGCCCCATTGACACGTCATGTGCTCAACTGAGTCGATACCCAGCCCGTGAAAACTCGGGGGGCCAACATTTTGCAGACTTGCCTAATGCTAATGGCGTCCAGAAGGCCATCCGGGGGCCTTGCATTACTTGTACGGCATCCACGAGAGAATTCGGGGGCATCGCATTCCCTGAACATATATAATGTGGACCTCCGTTCTGGCTTATGTTCTCGTGCTTCCAGTAATCGGCACCATGTCCGCTCACTTGTCTTACGTTAACCAGCACTTGGAATCAGTTCGGTCATATGCTTGTGGTCAGAAAACCGCGGTCATCGACGGCAACAGTGTCGATGTGCCCGCAGTAGTAGCTGTCTCTCGGTTAGTCATACAGAAATATGAGCGTCGCTATCTGACACGGTTGACTATTGTAGCGATGCTCATCTTCCCCGTATTGACTCCTCTCCAGAAAAACAGCGAGAAATCGCCGATGCGGTCGCCGTCGTCGCAAAGCTAGCGTTAGGTGAACAAAGCCAATATGGGGTTACTACCGGCTTCGGAGGGAGTGGTGAGTTCGGCGGCCGTTTCGCCATGTAAATTGATCCTCATCCCCCGACCTCGTCCCTTTCAGCGACCACGCGGACCAAACAAACCGCACTTCTACAGAAGGCGCTCATCACGCACTGCCAAGCTGGCATCACTCCCGCTTTTAGAAACGGACAAGTTCTCACCCCTGAAGAGCAGGACCTATTGTTTCCCCAAGATTGGGTCCGTGGTGTGATGTTCGTTCGACTTAACTCTCTCATTCGTGCCCAATCTGGGACGCGTTGGGTCGTCATCGAGGGTTTATACAAATTACTACTCCACGACATTGCACCTTGTGTTCCGCTCCGTCAAAGCATAAGTGCATCGGGAGATATAGGTCCCCTTGCGTACATATCCGGCATCTTGACTGGTCATCCTGACAATTATGCATGGTATGGTCAAGGGTAATTCTTATTTACGTCCTCGTTATCGTGGTTTTGCACTTATGGCACTTGCAGCGCGGAACGCAGGGTGTATGATTCCCCCACTATTCTGCAGAAGATTGGGTTGCAACCGATAGAGTTCATTGCTAAAGAAGGCCTTTCATTAATAAACGGCACGGGTGCTTCCAGTGCTGTTGCATGCTTGGGGATGCATGACTGCCACATCATTGGCGTCGCCTCCCAGGTTTTGTCCGCTTTCGGTAATCCGGTCTTGATTTGACTTTGAGATGTGCTCAAGTTCCATATTAGCGGTCGAGGTGGTGAAAGGGTTCCAGGAACCATTTAATCCATACCTGCACGAAGCTGCCCGCCTGCACCCAGGCCAAATCGAAGCTGCAGCCAATATTCGTCGTGTTCTCCTGTCTTCCAAGCTCGCACGACCTCATCATGTCGAGTCTGACCCCGAGGCAGCGCCACGACAGGACAGATATTGTTTACGTTCCTCTCCACAGTGGCTCGGACCCCAGCTTGAGGACCTGCTCGTCGCACAGAAGATATTGGATGTAGAGCTGAATTCGACAACAGACAACCCCATTGTCGATGTGCAGAAAGAGTATTTGCATCATGGTGCGAACTTTATGGCTATGGCCGTGACTTCTATAGGCAGCCACTTTCTTTGAGGATTGTCTTTTGTTCATGAATACCAGGCAACAGAGAAAATGCGGCTGGCGGTACACCATATAGGTACGCTCTGACCGCCTCTGGGGGCACACAGAATTGATATTCTGTCACATGCCAAGTTGTCGTTTGCTCAGCTCACTGAATTGCTGAACCACTCCACGAACTCTGGATTGCCTCCTAATCTCGCAGTTGGAGAGCCTAGCGTCGACTATAGTCTAAAGGGCGCGGATGTTGCTGCCGCCGCCTACCTCTCCGGTGGGTTGACAACGGGTCACACAGTACTGTTACTCGTTATTCATTCTTTTAGAGATGGCGTACCTTGCCAATCCTGTCAGCACCCACGTTCTTTCTGCTGAGATGCACAACCAATAAGTGCCTTCGTATAGACTACGGCTGATGTACAATGACGTACTCGTGCAGGTCTGTTAACTCGCTTGCTCTGATAAGCGGGCGTTATACCCTCGAGGCAGTCAAGCTTTGTTTCATGGCAAGTCTCATCACATCCCTACCAAGCGTCCCTGCCAGCGATACTCATGGTCATATAGTTGATGTCAACCCACATCTTCGCTCTCTGCCAGGCAGCTGATCTTCGGATCACGGAGGAGACGTTCCGTAGCAAGCTCTTTCCATACTTCGCACCGAGACTGCCGTGCACCTCCCTGGTGTCCGGTTTGACGACGACTTCTTCACACGCCTCAACAATCGTCTGATTGTGCTCTTGAACGGGTCTACTGATCAGGATTCCGCGACTCATTTCGAACGTGTAATGAATGACCTTGCGTCTACTCTCATATCCCTCCTCAATAATGAGGTCACCACAATGGGTGTACCTCTCAAAGCCGTCAACCAGTGGCGCGTATCACTCACCGCACATGCCCGTCAGATTTTTGTGGCAACCAGGGCGGCTTATGCAGAGTCCCCTGATGCCGGAGCAAAGTTGCTCGGCAGAACAGGCATGCTTTATACGCATGTTCGGGGGGTGTTAGGGGTGAAGCTGCGTTGGGGGGACCCGGCCATGGACAAGACAACGATCGGGTCGGAAATCGCGAAAATTTTCCGATCGTGGAAGTCGCCTGAGATGGCGGAGCTGATGATCAGGATTTTGGTGGGTTCAGATGGGGATTCGGGTGGTATTACTCGCTCGAAACTTTGAATTCTCCCGGTCCGCCCCTGGCGGGAATTAATTCGCGTGACTGCAGATGTTAGGGAATACCTGCCCATGTTGAAATTCTGACCTACGTAAATATCTTTTATGGCTAACATTTTTGTTAGAGTTCACGCATTGGTGTTGGAGCTAGACTACAAGCCATCATGAACAAAGTTTTTCAGCTAAAAGTGTCACGGAGGATGCGAGTAATGGGTGCAAAGGAAGTTCGTTTTGAGTCATTATCACTGAACGGCCATGATTGCCGAAAGCAAGACGTCGATAACAGGGGAGCTTGTCACACGCAGTGTATTGCTCCTTTTCTTACCCCACGCTTCATCAATGGTCGACACAGTTTGACGCTTCAGTTCGAGGACGATGTAAAGGGTGAGATCTTTTGCTTAATGGCTTTCATTCAGCCAAGATTATTGAAGTTCTGTTACCCCGAGCCTTGGGTCCCAGTGGATGTGCTGCCATTCACGCTCACTGGGAAGCTGAACCGTAAATGTTTTGCAGGAATTTTTCCATAGACTGCCACCATCTACGCAGAACGAGCTTGCGATGCTTGCCACATCACGACGCATCTAATACTCGGGTGTTAGCCCAACATCCAAGAATCGCACGTCAGAAGACTCACCCGGCTGAACGTAGCGTTGCATTCGGGACAGACCCAGGCCCAACTCTGCGAGTCCGAACGTTACAGCGGGGAATCACAGCTGAGGTGGAGAATGCAATTTCGTCGTGCGTTGGTGTCGATTGAGATCTGCTTCCCTTAACAACGTCTTTCCGCATCCACCTGCGAACTGAGAGAGTATACTTCATGATGATCCGGAGGAAGATACAATAAATTCTTGTTTTGGCTTTGGTTGAAGGTGGGGAAGTGGTTTCACCAAGATGATACTCGGGTAAGTAGTTGGGACATGCAAAACGGTAATCCTAGCACCTTCCTGATTGTTCCCAGGTTATTTCCTCGGAAGGTCGTCCGTTTGATTCACGTGTGCCAAGGACTCGCCGTATTGGACATCTCCAAGTACGTTGAGAATGGAGTTGAGATTGTACATCGTAGAATGCGCGGGACGTGTCCAAACTCGTGAACGTGAGTGAAAACAGGCCGCCATACCCTCTAATTTTGTGGTCTAGTTTGTCAGCAGGCAGATGCTGACGACAGATTTGGTAGTTCTCCGGAGTTATGTACTTGGGATACCACACTTGCTTGATAACCGCGCCTTCACTTTCGGGTGCTTCGCCCTCAATAGAGTGCACGCGGAGGAATTCACAGATGTACCCAGTGTTTGCGTTTATAATGTGCATGCGTTCGAAGAAGTGGCGCGAATTCCATTCCATCGCGGTTGCATCGGGGGTAAAGTAGGTGTCCTCAAAAGTCGACGCCAGGTGCACCCTGAGCATAGCATGGTGTCTCATGTGAGAATCAATTACCAGGCTGCAAGAATATGAGCTACTGAGCCAGATATCAAGATGGACTATTGGGCGAGAACTACTCACCTCCCGCCAAGCATGGTTGCATATCCGTCCAAATACTTTGATAGGCTAGTGACGATTATATCAGCGTAAGGCAAGACGTCTGCTTGGCGAACGTCCCGACGGTCTCATCGATGACAACCAAGAAATCGTATTTGTCTACCAAGGCGCCTAGTCGCGGTATATTCACGGTAAATAGTAGAGGTTTCGATGAACAGTCCGTGTAGAGAGCAAGTATGGGAAGCGTGGAAGGATTCTCGGTTCCTTTTCTTGCGAGCACAGCATCTAGGTCATCAATGTCACAATCACGTCCGTGTCCGTAGAATATGGCACCTTTGTCGACAATTTTGAGTGTGTCTGTGTACAGAAAGCTGGGTCAAATAGTTATTATGGTACCGTCCACGACACCTCATACACAAGGGCATGCTTACCCAATACAACGATTTTCCCAAAAGGGCACATTCCACAACGCTGGCATTCCGCACGGGAAAAGGAACACATCATCCTTAGAAACGTTTGTCTGCGTACTGGCAGGCAATTCATCACGGACAAAATAGTTCGCTATTTGTTGACGGAGTGCATCTTTCACGTCCGCTCCTGTCGCTAATGGAATTTCTGACACGTCCAAGGATTTCGGGGTCAAATCTGTCTTCCCGCATACATGAAAAAAATCCGATGTTTCTACCTCTGGAAATCCAAAAATCCCAAGGATAAATAGACAGTGTTCTGCATATTGCGACGAAGTTCAGAGGCCGCATGTTCCCAGAACTTCCTCGCGGCTTTATAGGTGTCGGTATAAAAGAGCAGAACGAAGACTTTGGCGGATGGCGGAGGTACTGATTGTGATACTACAAGGAGACCCAGTATCTCCCGTGAAGTTAAGAGCGGATCTCGTGTAAGGTCGATGGCAGAGTGAATGATTCGGAGGTCAGATGGCTTGATTGTGAATAAATTCTTTCCCATGCTCAGCAGTGTTTTGGTTTGGGCACAAAAGGCAACGTTCGCCGGAAATACAAATCCTTTCTAGGCAGGTGTGTGCGAGCTGCACAGATTCAAAATCTAGTGTCAGATATAGCTGTGAACGCGTGGGAGCGTCAATACCTTTTGAATGCTTCAATCGATGAAAAAAACCGAGGGTAAACCGTCGTCATTGCGCCAACAATGGCCTAAGGTACCCCAGATTGTCTGACCAAGTTGGCAGCGAAACTGTAATGGCACGCAGAGCAGTTTGGAGAGGCCATCCCAGCGGGTCATTACCAATTGGAACGAGAGCAGCCATGACAGCGACGGTGATACCTCCGCAAGAAAACTATAGTGGTGAGGCTGTTATGAGCGTCCAGTGGCTATCAGGATCAGTCGGTAGATGGCGACGGAAGCATTGGATCAAGAGGGGACAACGAAGGTGCCAGGTCACGACGACGGCGAAGGAAGAGGTGCTGGATTACGACGGAGCGATGGGGATAGTAACCCATATTGATGGATCGCGAGAGGACAACTCATGCTCCATGAGAGATGTGGCCGACTACAATATGACAGTGACTTCGGTAAAGTATTATCATCTTGACGCACGCACAAGTTATCTGACGGCATGTAGTCCCGGGCAGACTTATGGCGGCCACGACTGGTTTTCTCAGGAGTCTCTCGCACAATCTCTTCAACACGGCTTGGATAGTTGCCACACGATGAACATTTGGTGTACATGAATCGTAGCTTGTCTTTCGTGGAGTTTCAAAGATCCGGGAGAGAGAAGAGACATATACAAGGAAGACAACGCACAGCACGCAAGTGTGGTGTGCAATATGCCGTGTGTGTGTGTGTGTATTAGTAACCACCTCGCGTGCTTAGTCAACAACGCGGCTGCCCGCCGAGTCCAAAGGAAACACAGAACAGACATGAAAATGAAAATGAAAACAAGACACCTCAGCCCCTTTTCCCTTCCTCAAATATCCCAACAAAACAACTTTTCGTAGGGAAAGTGCTCCCTTTCCCTACGTTGGAGACGAGTGCCCTGTGAGCGGGTTCTCATATGTTTGAAGTATTTCTGGATAGCGAGTTAGGGGAGAAAATGGGGAGGGGATCGTACTGACCCAAGTTGCGAATATCACGATAGGATCGGCTCTCCCAAGCGGCACGAAGCATATCGACCAACTCGGGTTTACTGGTCAACAGCATGAACACTGGGAGGAATGAATTGTACTTGATGTCCAGGCTTCCACCAGACAACTTCATCAGGAAATTAACACTTTACTATTTTTGACCTTTTTGTGACTTTTGTTGACTTTTTTGTGACTATTGTGACTATTTGTGACTTGTTGGGAAGTGAACCTACTATCTGTACTTTTTTTTGACCATATACAGCATTTTGAAGAATGAAAAGAGAACAGAATCTATTGAGACAACTAAGTGATGATATATCTAAGACAGGAATTGACTAGAAAATGTCTGAAAATTCAGAGATATTGAGCCATTGGTGTGATGCACACTGTCTGAGAGAAAAATCACAATATCTCCTTGGAACCTCCATCAATTTGAATGTATGTGGTATCTACTGAAAGCTATGAATTAGGTGGTTTGAACAAGACAAAAATCAGCAAGAAAAGTGCAGCCATGCCTGCAGGACATGGGTAATGATAGTAGATTCCTTCCCAAAAAGTCACATTAGTCACAAAAAGTCAAAAATAGTAAAGTGTTATTTTCCTGATGAAGCTTAGTGACCAACTTGGGTTCACTTGAGAGCAGCACAATCAATACATTGGATGTATTGTACTTGGGGTCCAAGGTTCCATCCAAAAACTGCACGATGAGTTCAAGAAGTAAGACCCAGTCCCCAATATCCCCAGCTGTAGTGGTGCAGTAATGAGTTCGAAGCCACTCATTCACTCATTCATCAAGTGCCTCATGAGTGGCATCATCAAGAATGTTGCAGGTAGAGAGAGCCATGATGGTACAAGCTGTGGGGCATGGGGGCCATGGGCAATGCAGGGGAGCAAGCGATATGTGAGATTTTTTGTGGTGCATTCTGTAGCAGATTTGCATGCAGACACCTGAAATTAGTAACCTTCTATATATCCAAAGAATGATTCTTTCCAGCATGTACATGATCTGGATCTCAAGGCACTCACCAATCACTTTGGTAACCTTCTGAAGGTCTTCCTCAGAGATCACAAGAGGCAGGGCAAAGCATACACTAGTTTGATGCAACTTGTGTGAATGGTGCTGGCCAGGCAATGGCAAGACAGATACTTACCTGTTTACATGTGTCAGCCTCACCAGGACACTATGGCTCTTCAACAGCAAATAGAGCCACCAAGCATTCCTTCTCCAAGTGCTTTTCTCTTCATTGATCATTGACACAACCACATTCAGCAGGCCCTTGCCACAGATCTCTTTCATTAGTGGCAATCTAAACACTCTTATCTCCAAATGGAAGGTTTCACCAAGGTGTTCAGTGCAGTTGGAAAGCCTCTCTTCGATAAGGACATGGAGTGCCCTCACATCCAAGATCACTGAGGGTTCAAAGAGGTCAGATGATCATGCAGGGGTCTACTTACCTGCCCTAGGTACATGTACTTCTATGTTCACCTCTACCAATATAGTATATGATATATGGATTCTCTATTGGTGATCACCATGGAGATGGGATACACCAAGTGAACAAGTCAGCTGAGCAAACTCTGTCTCAATCTTGGTGACTATGGACCAACCTCCACCAGAGAGAGCCTTTCTGACAAAAGGACAATATCAGGTCTGATATTCTTGTCATAATATCTTTCTGGTCCTGCAAAGTTTCTGAAATTTCGGTTATCATGACTACCATCTCAATGACAAGACAAGCAGGTCCCCACGAGATCCCAAAAGCAGTAACAATAATGATTTATTGGCTGGGCCCCAACTCCCATTGAGCAATTTCTTTGTTCAGCTTGTCGATTTCCATTGCTCTTTCCACATTTTGTGTGTCTTCCAGTCATTTGTGCATTATGGTGGAGAAGTCTCCTAGTACATTGCAGAGGTCATCAAAGTCTTGTCCCATATAGGAATCAGTCTCACTGCTCCCCTGCCAATACTATCCCTCAGTGCAGTCAGCAGCACAAAAGTCTCAAAGTCTCAATCAGTCACACAAGGTCATGGGTGCCAAATCTTACTCCACTTGGCATTTGTCAGCAGTGTTAATTACATTCAATTGCCAGCTAGGTATTAGTGTAGTATAGTGCCATTTACTAAGCATCTGATGGGGGACCTTAAATGTTGATTTGTCAGTTAGGTACTCACTCAGTGTTATGAACTTAAATTCTGTGCTATGGCAGCAGCACTGATACTCTTGTACAACCCATTAGCAAGGCTGTTGATTACTGCCTTTATGCATGACTCATATGTGGGATCCAATGAGACACTTAGCTTTCCTCTTCTGCCTTTGGACTTGCACAGATGGACTGGCACCATGAACACCTGGAGCCTGAGACCTTGACCAGGGCAATGGAGAGCATGACCATGAACTGGTTGAACCCTTTTAACCTGAATTGAGTGAAATATTGCCATTGTGGGCACTGTAGATGTGGAAGCCATGATCACATGAGGCAGTAGTAAATCAACTGCCATCTAGGGAGAACTTGGCATGAAAACATGAGGATGTGGGAAGGAGGAAGGAGTTGTTTTCTGGAAATGGTGATGAATATCTGGGCATTGTTGAAGTCTACAGAGACAATTTTAGTGCAGTTGCTCAAGATATTGACCCCCAATACCGAGTTGTTGTGTTCTGTGAACTCATGCACTTTCTGATGAATGGCTGTGTTCCAGACAATCGCCTTTTGGCTCGAGTCTCTGGTTACCATCCACTGGCCATCATGGAAGATGACAATGGGATGGACATAGCTATGCTTGGCTTGGATGGTTGGACCATGTCACTGTCTGCCTGTAATGTTCCATCGATGAATTTCACCTTCCTCATTTTCACCTATGACCTGACTTTCACCCACAAAGGTGATGATGACTACATTACTCCAAGTTACTATTTCAGTCTGTTTCACTCCTTCAGTGAGATGTCAATAGGGCCACCTCAGCTTCTCTGACTGCTGGTATGCACCCATTGTTGTCGCTGGCAAGCTCATCAACACAGTTCATCCTAGAGTTTAGAGGGGAGAAGAATGATGCCATTGTAGACTTGCTCATGGTATCTAATATATGGTCAGTAACTTCCTCAAGTCATGTATTGGTATACATCACCCAAGTCACATCATTGTAGTAGGGAACAGCCATGTAGTGCTTAGTCAGAAAGATGACAACTTAAACATAGAGATTCTAGTATGTAGGAGGTATGACAAGTAATAGAATATTGTCTTTGTGCAAGTGGCTGTGTAGCTGCATGCCTCAGTTTTCCTTCCTTTCATCATCATCAGAACCCAGCCCACAGTGTGGGCTTCTCATTGTTCAGTTTTTCATTCTTTCTCATTGCTCCTTTAGTTTTCTTTTAACTAACACACTCCTTTTCACCTTTTTCTGAGGATTGCCCCAATCTCACCCCAGATTGCAGGCAATCAAAGGCAGCCAGAGCTGCAACTATGGGTGCCCAGCAACCCCAACAGCTGCAATGCCCTGACTTTGCCCTACTGGCCTTCCAAGGTGTAGTTGAACTTGTAATGGCCAGGGCAGAACTGTCCCAGGAGGAAGCCATCAAAGCTCTGGAACAGTGCTGGATCCAGGACAACCGACAAGGCAATCACCAACAAGGGGACCAACCACACCGGGAAGCAGAACACAGACCCCCTCCCCCTCCAGTACAACCACCACTTGTTGACCCTGAACATCTTCCCCAACGACCCCCTGAAACCAACCCCCCTGTCTTTGATGCAGATGCGATAGTATCCTCCAATCTACTGACACAACCAGCTGAGTATGCCCTCAAAAAATTGAAGCTTTCAAATTTGTCCATATGTGGTACTTCATGAGGGAGGGGCTACGAGAGGCAG